ACCCTGGTTTTAAAACAAAGCATATGAATGGCCTCAAAGCATACGAGCGACTGAAACTCATGATGCGCCACCCGCTTCCCCAACCGCAACCCCCCGTCTTTATCAGCCATGCAAGCTTGCTTCAGAGCTATGGGTCTTGTACTGTCTTGTTGAAACCCAACATGCGAGCATTGAGTTTGCAAATAGAGGCACTGCGCCCCTCCCGCAACACCGCCACTTTTTTGAGCCGCGCAAGCTTGCGAGCAACATGTAAAAAACACTTACGAAAATAGTGTGTGAGTCCTATGCGAAAAAAATGGAGGGAGTGGAGGTTTGCAAAGGAAAAACCAAGAAACTGCACCAATTCCTATGAAAATCTAGAGCGACTGGAGATTTTCCTAGAAAAGCCAAGAAAACCCGACCAAAAAAGGCTCACAACAGAAAAAAAGAACTCCCAACAGTTGTTCCACCGTTAAGTACTCTGTTTTTCCATGCAAAGCCTCAGCAGCGGTTGGCTTAGTGGTTCTCCGTTTCATTCCGTAGATTTTTTACAAAGCATACGAATCATTTGAAACCCATCATCAAATGGGGGGGGCCTGCGACCCCCCAACGCCCCCCGCCCCCGCTTTTTGAAGCCGTGGCCTCCCTCAACCCCCCTGCCGCTTGAAGCCGTGCAAAGCTTCCTTCACAAGGCATATGAATCTTTTTGAAACCCCTCATGTGAGCGTTGTATTTGCAAATGGCGGGGTCGGCCCCCAGCCCCTCGGCTTATGAAACCCCCCATCCGCCCGCCCCGCAATTTTTTTGTTTAAAGCCGTGCAAGAGCCGCGCAAACTTGCTTCACTAAGCCACTGAGCATATGAGTATTTTTGAACACAAAGCACACGGGCCTTTTATAAGACCATCATGAAAGCATTGGGGGGGCTGCGCCCCCCCAGCTCGCATCAGTCATGGACGTTCGTCACGGAGGGCCTGAGTCACAAATTCCCACAGCCACGGCAAACAAAAAAAAACACTCCTGCCAAGGCCGGCGGTGTTTATTTTTTGCCTAGCCCTGGCTGCAAGGGAGCCCCACAGCCGCGGCATGCCACGGCCAGGAACAAAAAACACCTGGTGTTTGTTTTTTGCTTAGCCCTGGCCGAGAGAGACAGCCATGGCAAAGCAAAAAAAACGCTTCTTCCTGTTTGCTTTGGGTATCGCCCCCGTTCATGCTGAGATGCGACCTGGCGACCGTGTGCGAGCTATCCTTGATGATGTGTATGTGATTTCACCACCACCTCGCGTCTCACATCTTTTCGGGAAGCTGCAGCACCACTTGTTTGCCCAGGTCCGCCGCAAAAGAATGGAACGGACTTCTGACGTGGTCGAATGAGTTTGAAGACGGCCCTTCGAGGCACAGGAATTGGAGAGCATTGACAACGAGTCAAGATCTTTTGAGATTGAGGCTTGAAGGACTGGAGTGCCGAAGAGACTATAGCCTGATGCAGACAAGTCAACCCGTCCAAGACTCGTGTTTGGAACGCGGCCGGCTCTTTCCCCAAGGGCCTTCCAGTGCCCGCAGGTGCGCAGACCTGGGTTGGTGATGCATGCCTTTCTGCATCGGAACGTGGCCTCCGCGTGCTCGGCACCCCCCTCGCTCCTTCGTGTTGAGCCCGCCGGAGAGTTCCTGGCCAACGAGCTTGTTTGTGGGCGGCCCTAGCTCAGCTTTCGGCATGGGGGACTCGGGCTGCGCAGTGCGGCCCAACACGCTCCAGCGGCATACTTCGCATCCTGGGCCGACTGCATCCCGGCCATTTCCGCCCGCGAGCCCCAGCTAGTCACCACAGCCACACAACAGCTGCTGGGGCTGGTTGACACGGCGCCGTCACTGTCAATTCTTCACTGATGATGCCAACAATGGTGTCTCCTGCCCATCTTTGCTCATTCTGTCGATGTGCTACGTTTGAAGATCTGGATCATTTGTTCAGCGATTTGTTGCCAACAATCTTCGTGGACAAAGCGCTTTGCGGGCAGTCTCCTGGCCAGCGTGTCCGACATCCTAGAATGGGTTGCAGAGCACAGAGTTTTCATTCTGACCTCCTTGGTCCATTGGTTCACGGTGGGTTTAGAGTTAAGGGTTCAATGTTTGAGGTAGTGGTAGGCTCCCCTGTGCTTCGTGCTGGGGGCTTTCGCAATCAGCAGATACCGATGCTGCCCCCATCGGCATGATGGGGTCATGCGCTTTGGTGGCGATTACATGCCTGCCGATCCGAGCTACTGCTTCCCGACGACGAGCTTGCTGTACTGCGTAGCTGACGCGGGCCTGTCGCGAACGATATGGGTAAGTGAGGATACGGGAGGATCCAGTAGCTATGCAAACTTAGTCGTCTCCATTCAAAGAATGTGCAATGTATTGCAACATCTGTTAATTTCGTGCGTTTGTGTGTGTGTGTGTGTGTGTGTGTGTTTGTGTGTGTGTGTGTGTGCGTGCGCGTGTGCCATTCCCAGTTTGAGGCATATCCCTACTTTGATGAAGGAGCTGGAAGCGCTGAAGGACATGTCAATGTGTGGCAATTGTCGGGTAATGTTGGTTAGGAAGCCTGTCGCCAACAGAGGAGTTTGACCCACAAGCCGTCGAACGAGTTTTCATCTCAACACGTGCGGTACTGATGATCCCTTTCAGTAAGCATCTTGCCACTGATGAGTTGCCATGCTTGCCGCGTGCTGCATGCAGAATGACCGCATTTTGCAGGGGCCCATGTTCTCCTCGACAGCCATCAGATCATTGATGGAATTCTGGAGGCGGAACAAGGATCAGATTCAATTGGCACCACGATCCTTGGCCACGCGGTTGTGTTCTTTTCAAGGCCGATTCAAGGCCTCAGTTCCACGCGCATTTGCGCCAAGGAAACGTGGCATCGGTCCTTGTTATTCATCGAAAGCCATTCGCAAGCCTCATCGCGCTTAACGTTTTTGAATGTGGTCGCATGTCATTAGAGTAGCGGCTGCGATGGGCAGCGGCAGGTAATGGCGTGCGCTTTGGGGACTTGCCTCTCAGCAGCAGACAGGCGCCGTGTCATTCCTGTCAGACCTCCAGGTGCTAACTTGCGCAGCGGCCAAGGTTGCATTTCGACGAATTCGAGCGCAAACTTCGAGATCTTACTGTCCTTTGGTGGCACAGCATATGCCGATCGATTCTGGCAGCTTGCAGCCGCATGCTTGTGGCCGAATGGCTCAGAGAAAGGTGGGAGGCTTGACGACCAAATTGCACAGGGTGCAGGCTGTAGAGGGCTGCATCGCTTATCCTTAGCCATGGCAGTTAATGCTGCCTCGAGCGTGGTTTCGCTGAGGAGCTCACCTTGCAGACAAAAAGGTGAAAGGCTAGCAACATGTTTGGGCCAGTCGTGGGTCTGACTTTTGTTTGGCAGGAGTTTGCTTGCTCAGTGCGGCCTCGCTGTGCCAGCGGATTTGTCAAAGGTGCAGCGCGTCCAGAGGTTAAGTGCATGTCCGTACTATGTTGCCGTATACGCGTTGGATGCACAGGGATGTCCAATGACGGCCGCTCCTTTTCTTCGCTTTGAGAAACATGCAGAACCTCAAGTGGCAAAGCGATCGCAAAGTGCCGACAGGTGCACAAGTTGCTGCGCCGCTTCATGCAGCAGGGGAAAATCCGTGCGCGAGAAGGCCGCAGGTGGGAGTGGGCGGCAGGCGATCCGGAGCTACCCTTGGTCACCAGGCAGCAGTGGCTTGGAATTGTTCCCCTACACCCCAAACCCTAAACCCTAAACCCTAAACCCTAAACCCTAAACCCTAAACCCTAAACCCTAAACCCTAAACCCTAAACCCTAAACCCTAAACCCTAAACCCTAAACCCTAAACCTGAAGCTGCGGTTCAGGTCCAGCAGCTTCTCCGAGCAGAGCTTGGAAGCATGGGAAGCTCGACGCCCAATATACTGCCATTGCAGGGAAGCTCGACGCCCCAGACCCTGCCATTGCAGGCGGCTGAAGACTGTCATGTTCTTTCGCAGGTTGTTGTGCACATATTCCAGTCTCTTTCTGTGCTATGTCAGCTAAGCTAGGCCCTGGAGTCTTGGTTGGGTGACGTTATGTGACGTTGGTTGTCCGAGTGACACAGCGCAAAAAGCGTGGGGGCAAGAAGGCTAATGAAACGATGCAACTGAAAATTTCTCCCGAATGCCGAATTGATGAGTTGGTCTGCAGGGTGCGCATGAGATGTATTCTTGCCAGAGGATGCCACTCAACCAGCACCCGAGCTTGCGAAGCAGAAGAGCGAGAAGTCTTCGAAGCGCAAACGGGCTCCTGCATCAGGCTTCTTGATAGCGTTTACACGTGATGGTAGAGGTATGGCAGATAGAGTGAGGTTGCCAACTGTAGCTGTGGGGAGGGAATCTCTGGCCATGCTGTGCGAGGCTACATGTTGTTCGTGAACGAACACTTCGCAAGAGTCCGGAGTGAGCTATGTGGTCCAGACAGCTCGTCTGGGGTCCTCCCTGGCTCTGACTTCAGCCGGATCGCCAAGGATCCTCGCATCGCCTCAAGCTGCATGCGCAGTTCGCATGGTTCCTGTTTGGTCCTGCAACGTGGGCAGCGTTTCGTAGACAGGAGGCTGCTGCGCGATGGCGTGCGCTGCCACGTGACGAGCAAGCGGAGTACTCCAGTCGGGCAGCCGCGGCCCGAACAGCAGCTGCGGAAATGACCGAGCACACCTGCACTTGGTTCTTGTGTGCTTGTGCGGTGCAGGCTCAAGAAAGCTTCTTGCCGTAACAGTGGCAGGACGGAGGAGCCACCTGCCCGAGCTCCAAAGGTTTCAGGCCGCGGTGTTCGACGGGGGACGGCGCTAGGCAGTTCCTTTCCAACAAAATGTTCTTCAGGCAGTGCGGGTTTTGTGGAATCGGCTGTTTGTCCAGCTGCAGCAAAGCCTGTACCGGGCCCACGAGAAAGCAGATGTGCAGCTGTTTATGTGGAGCTTAAGCAGAGGGCCAGAGTGGTGAGTGTCCAAAGTCTTGTTGCGGATCTCGGATATGAGAGGCAAATCCTCCGCGACCAAAGCCCCGATGATGTCAGTGAAACGAAAGTGGCTTGAGCTGCTTGCTTGCAGAATATGTTCCAAGTTGGACGACGACATAGGATGACTCTTTTCTGAAGTTGATCAGGTGGCCGTACTTTGCAGTTTGCACTTTTCAGGGCTACATTGCAAGCACAGGCACCAGCTACTGCGCGCAGAAGAGAAACTGAAGCAGCAATGGGAAGCGTTGTCAGCAGATGAGGCCACGATGTTTTTGATTGTTGTGCAGTGAAGCCCTTCATCTCCTTTCTGTGTGTGGCAGGTAGCCTCTCAACTAGTGGCTTGGAGAGTTCGTGGCTCGACTGAAACTTGCTTGGGCCTGCAGCTTATGGTGTTCCACTTGTCCGCCTGGCTGGCCAGGTCCCATGTCAGGCACTGATGAATTCAAGCGACGCCTGGGCTCCACATTGGATGAGCTCATCAGTCAGCGCATGGCTGATCTGCCCTTTGCAGGCCGGTCTGTGTTGATTGTTGTGCGGGGTCAGGAGGAAACGTGGGTAGTACCTTTTGCAACGTAGGATGAGAAAGAATAAAGAAGAGCGGGCGACCTAGGTCCTAGGTTTGTTTTGCTGCGGTTGTCTCAAGTTTCGCCCGTTTGTGCCAAGCCAAACCTTGTCTCAAGCCAAGCTCTGCGGACAATTCAAAGTCTCTGGCCCAAGGCACCACACCGAACCCGAAAGCATTCGTCACCAAGATCCCTTCAAGGCATGCAGGAGCACCTGCTGTCGGCTGTAACCAGTACTGTACCAGAAGCATCTGCAGCAAGGCAGCCAGCAACTGTAACATAGGAATCCCGGCTTGCTGTGCGATCGATCACCCAGGAACCTCCAAGCACTTCCCCAAAAACCCTTCACAGCTCGGACAATTTCATTTGTTGCCGTTTGGTTTTCCTGAAGCAAAACAGTCAGTAGGTGTCATCGCCGACACCTGTCGGTGAGCCACGGATTGTCAATTGTATGCATGCACGAGTAAAACAGCAATGCTACCAGGTGACGTTGAGTCAAGATCGTTGCTCACCGAGCTCGGATTTGCCAAAGCTTATCTGCCCCATCCGGCCGTTCTCTTTCTGGAGTGGGAGGCGGGCCCAAACAGCAGCTTGAGGTTGAAAAGTCATGAGCTCTTTTTGAAAACAGGTGCCGGCAGACAACAGCTCGGAGCAGATGGAAGAAGACGCCTGGCACAATTGACGCAACAGTTGGGTTTCGGACTGGGCCTGAAGGAGTATGAATGAACGCCCCACAGTTGACTTGGAGATGGCAGGCCGCAGTTCAGCGCCTTCGAAAGTTCCGAAGCCTCTCGCCGAGTCGGCTGGCGGCTTGGTGGTCCGTGGTGGCCTCCCGGGCGCGTCGTCAGCAGGCGAGCTCTGCTTGTCAGCATCAGAGTCTGTGATTGCTCTACTCTGCTATGCCCCGGCTTCTTGCGAAGGACGCTCTGAGAAATATTCTGTGCAATGACGTTGGCCTCGTTGAAGCCGTGCACTTCAAGGCCTAGTGAGCGCCATGGAGGGAACACGTGGGAAGCACGTGGGAATCCCATCGTTCAAAGTCGATCAAGTTGTTGCAGTCGTGCGCAGGAAGCGGACTTCGAGCGCTCCGCTTTCGATGCCTTTCGCGAAGACCAAGCCAAGCAGGGGATCGAGAGGATCCAGCCCCTCACCCTGCCAGGCCATAACCATGGAAACCAGAAGGGAGCTGAAAGGATCGAGATCCATCTCGGGCTGCGCACGCGAGGCCTGCAGATTGTGGACCCGCTTTGGGACCTGCTGCAGGAGGAAGAGTTCCTGCGCCTGGATGAGGCCAGCACCTTCTTTCCTGTTCCCCAAAGAAGTCCTTGAGACATGAGTTCACGTTGCAGCATGGCCCAGCAGGAGCAGCAGGAGCGCTGGCTCCTGGCATGTCAAAGCGGCCAGTGTGAAGGTACATGTTTTGTGAAGCCTGGGGGTTCGGTTCATGCCCTTGATGCTGGCGTGGGAAGCATGCAGTAGCATGCAGTAGTTGTGCTTGGCAGGCAGAGGCATGTGGCCGGGCCCAGAAAAGACGACATTGACAGCTGATGAGCCGGTGAAGGGGCTGTTTTAGGTGGAGACCACGTTTGGATTCAAATCGAGTGGATTGCATGTCACAGGAGACGTCGCTGAGACAAGGAATTCAGTTGCGCCCAGGACAACTGTTTCTTGGGTAAGGCCATGGCACAGAGATGCGAGTGGCCAGGCACTTCCTGATCACATTGAGTGGTCGAAACGCATGTTCATGGGCGGCTGATGACGGGAATCGGGAAGCGGAAAAAAGGGGTCCTTGCCAAATCGGGCTTTCCGCTGACGTAGCCGGATGTTGCATGAAAATTCCCTTGCTGCAGAGGTCTTGTTATCCAGCCTGTCATGTGCATGCCCATTATTCGGTGCATGGATCTGCAAGGTATGGTCTCAAAAGCGCTACAGCAACCCGCGCGACAAGGTGTTGCTGACAGCCTTCGCTTTCCCTATTCTGCACGGGTGCGAATCAACGTCTATAGACATGTCAAACGCTGTCAGGATTCTCCAGCGCAGCTTCAGCTGCGCCAAGCCCTCCGGGAGTACAACACACGGTGCTCGGCCCCAACCTGGCTGCAAGCTATGACATGTTATGACCGAACACTGTACGAAAAATGTGCCCACAACTTGTCAAAATGACAAAGCCTAGTGGAGAAGCGAGGTATGCGTTCGATCCGGAGAATGGGCAGAAGGGTGGAGTCGGGAGCATCGAGGAGGAGATCGAAAGATACCGGAAGTTGCCTGGCTTATGCCAAGCTTATTGACAAGCATAGCAGAGCTTGTCAAAGTGGCCTGACGGCTTGTCGTCAGATGTCCTGTCCAAGGTATGCGGACATGTTGCGTACACAAATCGTGGATTCGGTGACGTTCATGCACCAAGACATCGCACAGGGATGCAAGGCGCATAAAGTTGACTTGAACGACTGAGCGGGAGCACGCACCTGCTGGCTGTACAGGTATTGGTGGAGGGAGCCAATGCAGCTTTGCTCGACATCGACTTTGGTCCTCGGGCTGCAAGTATTGGTGCTGATTTGGCGTGTTCCCCTTTGCTGTTTAGAGCTGCTTGTCTCTCTGATGCAGTTGTGCACCTTCGAACTCGTCCGCCCGGCTCAAGCGTCAGCCCGACGTACGCTGGCAGACTTGTCGTATCCTGGCCGACGCTCCCTGTGACGGCATGGGTCTTCTCGACCTCTCGAAGCGGAATCTGGTGGCCGGCCGGCGCTTCTTCGCCGCGCAGGTGCCCAAGACCGTGGAGCCTCCGACTCAGGCCTATCCCCTGGTCTATGGCCGCGTGGAGGAGACTGTGATGTCCCCCTACAAGGGCGGCCCCGTCTACTTGTGGCTTCGCTCCACCATCGTGTGGCTTCGCCGTGTCCCAGGCCGGCACTGGATCCGCTGGCTTGAGCGCAACTGGGACTACCAGAAGATGTGCATGATGGGCATGCCGGAGATTCACATCGATCCCACCAAGAACCGCTGGAGGTACTACATTGACACGAGCTACTATGGCGGGATGTTGGACAAGTCTCACGAAGACTTCTACCGCTACATCATGATGTATCCCGCCATGGCGTTCTTCTTCCACTGCGTCTGGTGCCGTATTAAGGACAATGACAAGGACAACTTCCTGGCAAAGTGGCGCGTGCCAGCCGATGAAGCTTGAGGACTTCGAGATCACTCTGAGAGCACCGTCAGACTCCTTTAAGCTCGAGCCGGACGTCCGACTCAGAAAGCCGTGTTTGTGCGCGACTGTGGAAAAGATGTCAGGGAGATGCTTAAACGCATTCATGGAGAGCAGTCGTGCCACGTTGATTGCTGCGTGTGTGTCAGCCAAGGCACTTACCCTTTCGTCACATCGTCGAACACCACGGTTGGAAGCGTGTGCACCGGACAGACGCGTGTTTCTAGCGGACGTCAGTGTTCAAGCTGTCTGGAAGCGACTGGATCCTGGAAGGACTGGGAGTGCCACCGAAGGTGGTGGACACCGTCATTGGGGTGGCTGCGGCCTTAGGTCAGTGGTTGGTCTTAGGAAGTCAGAGCAGCTGGCCCAAGGTCAAGGCCTACACGACACGAGTTGGACATGGGCCATTCCCGACGGAGTTGCAGAATGAGGTCCAGTCGCTAGAGGCCATGGGGCCCCCATGGGATGCAGAGATTGCGGCGTGTACTTGTGTTTTTTTGTGACTGGAAACGAGGACTACACTGAGACCTATGTTGGTCCAGAGGCCAGGTACGAGCGGAAGGGTCACACAGGCGGGTGGGGTGCTTGGACTTGGTGGGCTGTCGGGTTGGTGACGTCTACGAGTCTACCAGAGGTGGTCCCTTCGAGTTGAAGTCTGGCCAGCCCGTGAAGGTGCCCTGAATGCCATGAGAATCTCGGTGTCAGTTGTTTCTCACTTGAGCGGGACTTGCGCTCAGGTTGGCATGATGCTGCAGGAGGTGGGTGCTGAATACGGCACCACCACCGGCCGCAGGCGGAGATGTGGCTGGCTGGACCTGGCTTTGCCCACAGTTTTCCCTAGCCTGCAGACGTGTTATTTGTACGCGCACTGTGTCCTCAAGAGCTCAAGGCTTTGGTCAAGTACTCCGCAATGGTGAATGGGTTTGCGGCTTGACGGTGGAACAGGGGGCTTGCCGAGACGATGTGGGAGGGCAGCAGGGAGTGCTTGTGCTGTCTCCTCGCCAAGGACAGCCTGAACATCACCAAGCTGGATGTCCTGACTGGCCTGAAGCAAATTCGGGTTGCCATTGCATACAGGTCGCTGGACTGCATAAGCATGTTGGCTCCGCTACTTGCACCATCCTGCACTGCAACCCGTCTTGTGTATATGCACGTCAAGCCAGGAACAGACGAATGACGGAAGTGCGTCTGCCATCTGGCTACTTTCCTTCACACCTGGATGACCTGAAGGACTGCATCGGACTGCCCTGTCTGAAACCAACGGAGGGCTGACTCCAGAAGCGCGTTGAGTCTTGGAGAAGTGCTCAGGAAGTCGTGTGCGAGTATGCTGCTTGGTCTGACTTACTTAGACTATTTCAAACCGAGAGTGGCGCCTTTGGTGCAGTCTTCCTAACTTCCTGACTTCGTGACTGCGTGTTTCTGCCGGGACTGAAGGAGACCCTCCAGGGCTGGTCGGAAGATATCTCCAAGTGCACTAAGTGGGAAGACTTGCCCGAGAACGCCAAGAAGTATGTGCTAAGGCCCGGTGCTTTTAAGCAACCAACAACGTAGGCATACCTTGCCCCATTACTCCATCCGCAGGATCCAAGAGCTCTTGGGCATTCCTGTTTCCTGGGTGCCGTGGCCAAGTTTTGAGATAAAGAGTGCAGCACATCTTTTGACACATTCGGTGGCACGTGCATGTTCTGAGGTTGGCGTTGGCCCAGATCGATCAAGCATGTTGAAGCTTCCAATGGCGAAGTGCCCCTCGACTTTACCTATGCCTCCCATGCTTCCAACTTTCAGCCTCTCTGTGGCTTGATGATGTACAATGATGTACATATGTCGCCATCGATGCAAACGCATTGAGGGCGAGGTGGAGTGATTGCTTCAAAGTTCATGCCTTTAAAACATCATTGCAGCAAAACGTCCTTGAGAATCACTAGAATCTGCCCACCGCACGAGTTCCCTTCGGCAGCCATCGCTGCAGCATGTCCTGAGAACGTGCTCCGGGACCTCCAGCACCCGGGGAAGGACATGGAAGGATGTATGTATGCCTTCTGCATTTCGTGGCTCAGAGTGCGGCGGGGTACGGCGCAGAGCCGCAAACCCTGCAGGCAGGCAAAACGTGCCATCGAATAAATCGTTCCGGCATGTCATGTAACTACACGTGCACTCGTGCGTTTTCAATTTAGTTTAAAGATGCGGCGCGGTTGGAGGCCTCGATGGATGTCGGCATCACAACCTGCTGAGGGAGGGTGCCTCGCCCGGACAGGGCTTGTCAAGACCAAAGGTGAAAAGGTACGGTGGAATCACCTGTGCTTGTGGTATGCACTCACATGCAAGGTCCAGCAAAGAGGACGCTGCAGACGTGCCAGCCGATGAGGTGGGTGCACCTTGGTCACCTTGGGCAGTGCGAACGTGTTTCAGCAGCGATTATCGGAATTGTTGCACCCGATGGCTTGGCTGGTAGGCCCCGGCAGCAAGAAAAGAAGGCTGGCAAGCAAGCATGCATCGCACGCCACTTGTCTTGACTTCTTTGCCTTGGCGCAGATGGCGCGTCTTGTGCGGCGAAACCAGCGGCAGAGGGTAGCGCTGGCGCAGCTGGAGTCGGCGTTGCAGCCGGGTCCCAGTTGATCTTCTCATCTGGATGCGCAACTGCCAGTGGCTACAGCCATGGCTCAGGCTGGTGCAGCATCAGCAGAGAGCAGCACAAGCGCCAAGACCTGAGCAACATAACTTATCATGGCGTAGCCTTAATCACTTGATCTTGCTGCCAGTTTGGTGCATTATAGGCTGGTAGCGGGGCGGACAGCCTTGAGGCACAGTTTGCTGTGGCTTAGCTTTGGCATGCTTTGGCACAACTGACTTGGATTTCAAACACGGCCTGTTAAGAGGATACCTTCGGTTCCAGCCAGAGCAAGGAGTACACGCCAGCAGCTCAGTTCCAGCCTACCCTGCGCAGTCGCTGTGTGTGTGTGTGTGTGTGTGTCTTATGGTCCTGATTCAGGTTCGGAAGCTCTCACAGTCAGCAAATGGCAAGCAAAGGCTTCGTCCCTGGAGGCAGCATGCTGCATGAGCATGAGTTCAGCAAGCCATCTGAGCGTAGATGCATGAGCTGAGTTTGACTCCTCAGGAGCCGCTTCAAAGGAGCACTCCTCGGCGATGCCCTTGGTCATCTTGCCTTCTCAGTCAGTCGCTAGGCATGTGCCGAGTCTGCCAGGGCAACTGTGGCACCACTGGCTCCAGCTGTGCCAGTCCACCCTCCACGTGGAAGTTAACACTCGACCGAGAAGCAACAACCAAGCGAATGGCACACTGGAATAAACTTGACCAGCCCAGAAACCCAACCGCCGTAGCAGTCCGCGACAGCAGTCTCTGCGCTCCGTCATGGTGACGCCCTCATCGGAAGACCTCACTCGGTACTTGGATGAATCGGTGCCTTCTGCTGCAGTGCGTTGCAGAATGCTTCGGATGTCTTCTGTCAAGCCGTTGGCAGCGTTGTCATGTTGCCTCAGGTGTCTGCAGCCCAAGAAGCAGGGAACTTGATGCTCGAGTGCTTCGCGCGCAATGATGCGCACCAAAGCGTGGAGGCCTTTTGAAGCTGAGCTGTTGCTGTGAGAACTTTTTGGGACCAGCTATGCAGTTTCGAGTCGTCTTTAGCCAGGCAAGATGAACTTCCATGTGGTTAAGGCTGCATAGTTGCAGGAGAAAGCAACGCCGGTGGATCTGGTAACGAAGTATGACCGGCAAGTGGAAGAACTTGTCCTCAAACGGCTGAGGCACCACACCACCGCTGCATGCCCACCTTGAAAGCACGCCCTTAATTTTTTTCTCATAGTTTTGGCAGGGCTGTGGCGCCAGATTTCCGGGTACTTGCAGAAGAGACAGCCAACAAGGAGGAGCTATGCAAGCGTGTCAAAGTCACAGAAAAGACCTTGGCCAGACAGTTCTGTGCAAACCCTTCGGCACCAGGAGTTGACGGATTCGCCTACATGGATTGTGGATCCAATTGACGGCACTACCAACTTCATCCATCGACAGGCAAGGCCCCATCATCATCACCACTAGTGAGAGTATCACTTCTCTTTCGTCGATTGTGCGGGTATGCAAGACGTGTAAACTGAGCAGGCCGAGTGCTGCGTTCTGATTGGACTAGCAGTGAAGAAGAAGGCAGTCCTTGGCGTTTGCTTCATACCGAAGTTGGATGAGAACCTCGTCTGCTTGATCCTTCTGAAGTGGTTGACTTTGAGCTGCTCGATGCTTCTTCGCTCGGCACACTGACGCATCATCCGCCCATGACCTGAAGGCTTTACACAGCAGTGCGAGGTCGTGGTGCATACTGCAACGGACGACGCATCACGTCGAGTGGCTGCAAGGACAGGGTTGGTGTGTGTGGCGACGGAACGTCAGACTTCGACTACTTCGAACACAACATGTTTACTCGCAGGACTTGACGCGTGCACTGGTCAATCTGCATTTGCCTTCCTACTCCCGTGGGCCCAAAGTGGTGGATCGAATTTTGGGTTCCTTGGCATGGCCTCGCAAGGCTTTTGAGGGTGGTGATCGCTGGCTGCAAGCTTGTCCTGCTAGTGACTCTTTATATGGTTCATTAATCTTTTCGTACTGAAAGATGGCTAACTACTATGACTATTAGCTAAGAATTTGGCCCAGGCATCAGCCGTGACCTGTTGGCCCATCCCATCCGGGCCATGCGCTGCGGTGGCTCTGCGGGAGTTGACATGATGCACGTGGCGCGAGGCCGGCTGGATGCCTACTTTGAGGCCGGCACGTTGAGATATCCTGAGATGCAGCCATGTTTCGCTCCAGAAATTTGATCTGTGGCCTGACGGCGTGTGGCGCATGAGGTGGGCATTTATCCCTGGGATGTGTGCGCCGGGCAAGTGATTGTGGAGGAAGCTGGCGGCGTTTGCTGTGACACCCTGGGTGGCACCTTTGACCTGGCCTCCCGTTCCTTGGCTGCTTTTTGGAGCCTCGCTCATCCTCTGCAGGTTATGCAGTAGTACAGAATATGGCGCCCTTAACTATGGTAACGAATTTGTAACCTGATCATCTTCGAGAACGCCAAATCATCTTGGATTTTCATGATTTGCTGGCAGCTTACGAGCTTGAGGCCGGGTGCTGGCTGCTTCTTCGCCGGAGCTTGCCGCGCAGCTGGCTGTGCATCTGCGCAAGCATCGTACCTCAAACCGCGGTTAGCAGCATGCTTTTCAAGCGATGGTAAGATGGACAAGTATCACACAAACCCCCGCTTCTGTTGGATTTGAGGGCTTGTGTCTCCTGTGCTTCTATGCAGATGTGTATGTAAGGCTTCTGCAACTGTACGTCCCCTGCTGTTGAGGATACGGTACCGTGGATGCGGAGGACTACGAGAGTGACGAGCAAGAGCAGAAGTCAAAGAGACTGCGGACATGACTGCCCAGGCATGCCTTCGGTAGCCTTCAATGCGATCCAGCGGACCGGCGCTGGTCCGGACCATTGCAAGCACAGACCCATTCGAAGTTTTCAACCTGCAGCCACTACGGCTGCATCGCGCCCTCTTACGGCATCGCTTGTGTGGAGTTAAAAGGTTGATCTCCATACTGTCTCCAAAATCATGCGGGCAAGGTTTGGGGCCGAACTGGTCAGCTGGTCGTTCATGGAGGGCCGCTGAATCCGAGGCCAAGGGCACCCTGACACCTCCAGAGTCGGGATTCTTGGCTGCGAGGCCTGCAGCTTGGGAAGGATCCTTGTAGTTTTACTACGAATTGCTTAAGAACCACCCAAAAACTAAATATTCTTCCTTTCAAGGGTAAAGAGGGATTATTATTCGACATGTTTTGGGGGTTCTTAAGCAAATGGTAGTTTAAGGTGCTGTGTAGATGTCACTCTTGTCGCCATGTGCATGGTAGGGAGGCGGCTTGTATGCGTCTGCGACATTTGGGCTTTCAGCACTGTACATCCTCTTTTCCGTCTTTTCCCGTGTGTCATCTGAAGTGTGTCTTGGCTTATGACAGTTCTCCAGAATGATAAGACACGCGCCGTGCGCTCCTTTGAGGCAGTTTCTGGTCCTGGAAGCAACCGCAGTTGAACTGAGGTTTCTGCTGCCGATGAGGCCATGGACCCAGCAGGGTTTAGAGCAGGAGCTTGGGGGGGAGACGAGTTTCAGATGCGAAGCATGGCGAAGCATGTCAAGGTTCTCTCTGTGGCTGTTGGCCGTCTGCCTCAGCGCGGCTTGGAGCTTGGTGCAAGCAGCTGCAACTCCGTCTTTCAGCCAGGGGCTTCTGAGGCAGCTCCCGTGCAAGACGCTCCTCAATCATGGCCAGAGGACGCATGTGGGCGCGCGTGCAATCGGTTTCGCAAGTCTGTCGTGAGCTCGTCTCCCAAGATCTGTTGCGCTAGTTGTGAGTTAGGCGTGATGCATCGTGAAGCTGAACTTGCCGCAGCCGTCTCCAGCTGTTCGTGGTCCAAGCTTTGTCCCCGGCAGCGCAGCACCTGGACTGGAGGACTGGTCTCGAATTTCAAGGAGGAGGTTTTTGGTGATTTGGTGAGGCTGAGCCTTTGTTCGTCTTTCCTGAACAGTTTCTACTCCAGGGACATAGCTTTCCCCCCAGGTTCGTATGCGTAGATTGTCTTCGCGAGTTCTCGATCGAAGACCGGACATCAAGCATTGCGTAGAAGGTCTTCCTGGAACCTTCAAACTTTGGAGGCTCTCAAACTTCAACCTTCAGTCAAAGTTCAATACAGTGTCAGTTTGTGGGATGCCACGAGCGACTTCTGACGCAGCGGTTTGCCTCGGGGGTTGTGATCGAGAGTTCTGTCAATGAGGTGGCTAGGCAGCGGGTCGGGATGATGTGAATAGGACCTGTTGGATCGGGAAGGCGGAGCAAGTGGCCGAAAACGTATACAACGAGAGCTGGCTAGCGGTTCGATGGGGGTTAGCTTCATGAACTTATCCCTTCGTGAAGACTCCAACGAATTGTCATTGCTCAGTGTGGCTCGTAATTGCAATAGTCTCTTCTTATTGAAGTTGGTTGAATCAAACACCTGTGGTATGTGCAGCTTGAGCAGTTTGACAGTTTCAACACACTAGCCTAGTGATCCGGAAGAGTAATAATCGTACTTACGAGATAAACCAACACAATGCTGCACCTGCTAGAAATACAAGTCTAACTAAACTTAGCAAGCAATATTCAAGAACAACAAGTAGTGTCTCATAATTCTGCAAGTCGCCCCTCAGATTCGTAGTAGAGTGAGGAAGGCTTTTAAGGGCTTTTTAAAGTGACAAAGCAGTCCATTCTGATGAATGCGCTCGCATCTGTCCACACTCAGCCTGTGTGAGGAGGGATGGCTCCGCGAAGAACGCCTTGCCTGTCACTGATTCATGGCTGCAGCATGCTGCAAGCCGCCGCCGCGTTGAAAGCAGGGGTGTCTGGTGCTGAGGATTTTGTTGGGAGCTGGCGCCCTGCTTATTTCCCAGCAGCTCAGCTTCACCGGGGCACCAGGCCTGGCTAAGCAGCTGAACTGTTACAGTGAAGCGGCGGTGCTTTTGCAGGTGGCAGCAGGCAGAGCTCCCTTCGAAGAAATGCCGAGGGTGAGACTGCTACCGCTGTGATGACAGCGTCGCGCCTTATCAGCAAGGTGGCATGTGGGACGACTCAGAGCAGGCAGAAGTATGGGCTCTATAGGCCTGGCAGCTGCCATTTCCGCCACCCAGGGAAGAGCTGCGGGCCCAGAAGAAGGCGGAGACTCTCGAGGCGATTGAGAAGGCAGCCCAGCAGGACTGGGGAAACCGAACCCGATGGAGCCTTAAGATGGTCCTGCAAAGAGATTCCTGAAAGTCACACAAACGAAGGGGTGCTCTTTTTGCCCATGGCAGGATGCGCCAAGGGGTGAAGACTTGGGCAAGCTGGCTGAAACCGCACTCCGGGAGCGAAAGGCGGAGGTTCAAGTTGTCGTGGCATCTGCCTCCTTTTGGAGCTGAGGCAACTTTTGGGTGAATCAGCCCGGCCAGCTATCCTTCGAAGTCCAGTTCAATCGCGGTGACAAGGTCAAGGACTTGAGGACGGTCATCGAGAAGGCCCGCGGCGCAAGGTTCTAAGTGCCCCAAACTTTGTCTAACGGCGACAGCCCATTAAATCTGTAGTCACCCTGCTATCGTTCCCAAGTCTTCAATGAACCACCCCTCCTTCATGTGCCAGGTCACTGGAATCCCTCCGGAGGCGCAAGAAATCCGATCCGGCGGAGACCTTCTCTGGAGCTGCAGCTCCAAGCTTCTCATTTTTTGCACTTCTTGTGCTAGTTCTCCAGTTGCTCCTGTGTTTTCTTGTTGTTTCGTGCATGTGTCGTCCGCTGCCCAGAAGACGGCGTGTTCCTCGAGGGCCTCGATTTGACGGTTGCAAGCTCAGACTTGCATTGGGCCCTTTTAAAGTTGCAGACAGAGTCGAGAAAGGACATCTGGGTTATGGACGAGCGCGACGACTCCCCAGAGCGAGGCGAGTGGAACCCTGATCCGGAAGAGGAGGGCCGGCCCGAACTGTTGCCTTACGGGGAACGGTGTGGAGGGGGTTTGTGTGTGTGTGTGTGGCTGCTTTGTCGCGCAGGACATGGACCCGCTCTCCAGCCCCTTGAAGAGCCGCGGAAGCACAAAGAGTTAATCTGCAGCCCCGCCGCGGCATAGTTGCAGATGTCGGCCGTGCTCTCCGTGGAATGAGGATCAGCATCTACCTCTTCAGCTCATTCATTGGTCTCTTCTGGGTGCCGTGCCTATTCGAGAGCTGCCTGGCTAGATTCGACTTGGCCCAAGATGTGCAAAAAAGTGAAGGTGACACAAGTCCTCGGCGTCAATCCGTACGGCAACTGGCCGGAGGGTCCTCGCGCGAACTGGGCCGAGGCGCGGTTCTGTGCGGCTTGTGCCTCTTCGTGCCTGAAGTGATTGGCATGCCAGGTTCCGGAAGATCTGCGTCCAGGTGGCGATCCTCAACAGTTGCTTGGCGCGACGTTTTTCTCTTCTGGGTCCAACAGAGCTCTGCGCGTGCGTTCTAAGGATGCCTCGGGCTCTGGATATCGATCAGGAAACGCAGAAGCAGCTGCTGGAGTCCCGAAAGAAGGAGAACGTGTTCAAGTGAGTTTCCTGCCGGATGTCATGTCCAGAGATGCGAAAAAATCCGGACAAGGGCAGCACAGGTGGCCGCACATGTTGTGTTGCCCCGAAGGCAACAGAAGCCCAACGGACTCTGCTCCGTTCACGTTCGTAGATTCTGACAGATGTGAGATAATATGAGATAGTGTAAGCTCTGTCGATCTTTGTTGAAAACGTTGCGATGAGCCTCGAGCAGTTCAGCAGCTCAGCGTGGCATTGCCCGTCGCAGTCCACCGGTGCCAAGCGGAAGTTCTGGGGGGAAGGCCAACTGGACGATTCATAATAAGATTTCTATCCACGTTGTTTCATGTTGCTTTGTTCAGACACACGTGGCCTCGTCCTCATCCCCCGTGAATTTTGTAATGTAGGTGCCTGGCACATGACGCTTCAGAACAGCTTGCAGCACCAGGAGGCCGAACAAAACATCCGGCCAAACAGCGAACTCAAGGTTTCGAGCTCCGTCAACCCATGGAAGTATTGCAAGGCCTCCTGCAGTTTTTCACGGTACGTGCTCAGAAGCCCGTGCATGTCAGCATGACACGCGGGTGGACCAGACTCCCGAGAATCACGCAAAAAAGATGCGCAAAAAGATGGCGCGGTGAATTTATCTTCTCCAGCATATCCTGCGGATCTTCGTGTGCCCACAAGGACGAGTGTGAAGCTCATAATGACTCTTGTGGCCTGTCGTTGAGGCGCTGTCTCGTTAAGGGAGAGCCAACCAGACAGACGGTTTTCCCAAACAGCCCGATGCCGCAGTCAGCGCATTATCACTGGCCAGTTTCAATTTGCTTGCAGGCAGCTGCGCGGTACCGGAACGGAGCTCATGGACCTGGAGCTCGAAGATTTTCTGGCGGGTGCAGACTTCGATGAGGAGGAAGTGGTGGAGGCAGGAATCGGTTGCGGGACATCAGAAGAAGATCACCGGGGGGGTTCGTGTGGATATCCCTTCTCTTCACACCTCAAGCTGAAGGTAGCCAATGAAACTCGGGGTGAGTAGCTGGAGCCTCAGGGCAGGCAGAGGTTTCGTGAAGGTTGCCTACAAAAGTAGATGCCAGTTTGCTGACCTGCCCTTTTCTGCCAAGTTCCTTCTATGCATACCGTGCAAAGAATGACAAAGACTACGAGGACACGACGCTTGGTGCACGCCTCGCGTGTGTTGGAAATTACATTTGATGCTGGACATATGCTTCGTTGACGATGTTGAAGCCAAGGAATGTCAACATGGCTAACCTTCCAGGGGTTATGCTGCTTGCCAACACAACGCTGGCACCAGCACGTGTGTACCTCTTGTCTGCCTCTTGTGGTCGCCCGTCACACCATACGAATTTTGTAAAGGGCTTGTGTGCAGCCAAATTAAAACATCGCAAAAACTGAAAGGGTTTTCGCGTTCTCTCGTCGTTCACACCTTGGGGCAGAGAAGATCAGTGAATTATAGTGCGCCCCAGGCATACAATAAGACTAGTGGACCACCCAGTGAGGATAAGCATGATTAGCAAGATAAGAATCCTGTTCAAAGGCTGGCTTTGGTACTAAGGAAATCGTGACGGCTTGTTGGAGAGAACGCAATATGGTTAAATCTCTAGAAGATGCTCGGGTCCTCATGGCAGCCTCGAATATTTAGGGTGCACGGTGTCCCAACAACACAAGAACAATTCTGTGGGCTTGGAAGTAATTCTTTGGTCACAGGGGTCACTCACGGCTTCGTTGCTTCTTTGTTTCTGTCTTCCGTGCCCTTGTTGATAATCTTCACGCGCTGTGCTCACTTGTAATAGTATTCTAACAGCCAGGTCGGAGTTGTGCAATGTGGGCTGAATTTCCGTTTTTGTCTGATGCTGGTGCTCTCTCTGAGGTGGTACTTGCACAGTGAGGTTGTCGGACATTGTCCTCGCAAGTTTGGTATTGTCCGAATCTTGCGCTACAAGGCCAGCATTTGGAAAGCAGGATGGCTTGTCCTGGTCTACCTATAGTCGTATATTACAGCAAGAGATAACAAAATAGTACTTGCCGGCTGTTGAGATCACCATGAAGCCGACTCCCGAGCTCGAACGCACGGGCCATCCCTTCGCGCATTTGTGTGCGCCTCTCATCTCTTCCTACTGACTTTTTTCTTGCGGCTGCGGCCGTAACTTTGCAGCTCCAGCTCCTGCGTTGGCGTCGGACGCCGAGGCCACTTTGACAGCGGTGCTTGCACCGGTCCGAAGGCGAGCTTGGACGAGTACCAGAGGCACTGCCGGGGGACCTGTGGTATTTTTGTTTGTGGATGTTGGATGCTGGGATGTTGGAGCTTGGCCTGAGTCCGAGAAGGTTTGGATACGTGGTCGGGTGTGACAGACCAAATCACCAGCACGCTGCTTACGACCAGGCCATGCTTCCTTTGACAGATCTGCCTTGACGTGCTCGGGATGGCTGTACTTGAAAGGCCACCTGGTACAGCTTTCCGGGCGACTGCCCCTCCAAGACTTTCCAGCAGAAAAGAGGCGGTGTTCTCAGCAATCCGTTTCCAAACCATCCCTAGCCCCGCTTGTCCGAAAGCATCTTGCTGCATGTGGCGGCTCAGGCTGCCGAGAGAAGGGTGGGCTTTGCAGGCTGCTTGGCGGCTGATTCGGTGCGTTCCCAGCGGAGAACCATGCCATACCCTGCCCAATGGCTGAGCAAATGCTGCAGCCGAAGCCAAGGCCTGGAGAGTCGTGGTCCAGGACATGCACCTGGCGAAAAGAGTATGCGGGTGAGGTGGCTCCTCCACGATGGACTTCTTTAAGGTTGTTTGGCCTGTGCGTAGATTTCGGGAGTTCTGACCGCATCAGAACGCAGTGATGCAAACTTCTGAGATCACGTTGGATGAGCTGACCCACAACTACCACTTTGAAGAGCGCTGCAAGAAGGCCCGGCCACCACCAGCCCTTGCACCCGTTTCCTCATTGTAGGATTTGTGCCATGTGCTGGTTTGGGCAGGGCTTTTACGAGTACAAAGAGGGCCTGGACTGACACCATGATGCCACGAGCATGCCATGCCCTGCCTGGTGAGCCCTTCGATCTACCAAACCTCACGACCCACATCTCGTCATGCGCTGCACAGGACAGGGGCCAGGGCACCAACTACTGGCACACACGGTCAAGCGAGGCTGCGGGCACCTCAGGACTTGAGACTCCGATGAAAAAGGCCGCAGAGGTGCAGAAGGGCAAACCATGGCGGAAGTGCTCCCAGGTATGCAACCGCCGCATGAAGTGGCTGAAGACAGTGCTCCAGAGGCCCGAGCCCGGGAGCTTTTGCAAGTTCATTTTTAGTGCCCCAGCTAGTTGATAAGTCAGCTGGGCTTTGCAGGAAAGCAGGTGGCCCCAATCTTCCAGACCCTCCGCAGTGTCCGTGCAGCTCCAAGAACCATCACCGAGCTGGTCAGTCCTTGTACTGGATTTCATTTAATTTGAAGCTTCGCCAACCTTTGCATGAGGTTCGGAGACGAGCACCGTACCTTGACAGAACTTGCCTGCTGCTGCGTGATATTGAATATGAAAACATTTCGTAATATGGTATATGCACTTAGATAGGTTATTAAGATCCATAAAAGCTTGTGACGTGTGACATGTTTCTTTGTCCTGATGCGGGGTGCAAGCGAGGCTAGTGTGGCGAACCAGCCGGCGATGCAGCGTCAACAAGTATGCTGCATATTCTTGAATGGTTTGTGCTATGCCTTGATGCCGGTTCCCGTAGAAGGTTATGTTCCCAGATCACAGCCGGTAGCGTGCGAAGCAAAACAGAAGATTGGCTGCTGCACAGCAGGACTTGACGATGGGGTTCTGACACATGGGCCTTTTCCGATCGCTGAACGTTCGTGCTGCTAGGCCGCCGTCGCCTTCACATTCCCAGTCAGTTAGCGGGAGTCCCAGTGGGAGCTGAAACACCTGTGTGGGAATCCTGTGGCATCCTGTGTGGAAGCAAGTGCATCTGGATGTGTAGAGCACATTGAGTCGACTAAATACAGGTCCGCGGTCACAGCGCGCGTGGGCCTCGGTAATGTCAGTTGAAATGTGTCGGAGCCGCGTTGCTGCATTGCCTTCAAGAGTGTCTAGCAGGCAGGCCACCTGAAGTGCATTCAACCTGTTTTTCCAGAGGCCAAGCGCGGCAAGGGATTTGTGGACGAGGACCATGCCATTGGAGTCACGAGCTTCAGAAGCTTCAAGTTGGAAAGGGGGGGGGGTTGGTTGAACATCCACCAGGATGATGAGGATGATGGCTGTGGCGAGACCTGCCCTGAGTTGTAGCTACTGATCCAGGGCTTGCTTGTCCAGGGCTGGTGTCTTTGTGCCAGCCGACGGCCGCTGTAGCTTCCTCAGCTGAGCTGCACACCCTCGGGTCCAGAAACATTATCAGTTGCAGATGCGGCAATCTAGGGCTCTCGGTACTTGCTAGCACATCACGCAGCAAACCGTTTCACCTCGCCATGTGTTTTTACTTGCAGCATCTTGTAGCTGTCATGCCCGTCTCGAGCCGATGATGGCTGAACCTGGGGATGGTCGGAGTCCTCACATACAACATCCACTCCGGAGTCGGCAGCGATGGTGTGTACGACCTCGAGCGCATTGCAGGGGTCGTGCGCAGATCTGGTGCCGACATCGTCTGTCTGCAGGAGGCACGTAGCCGCGCAGACGATGTCGCGAACTGCCATGTTTTTCTCCATTGTCGAAGCAGGTCGAAGCGAACAGCAAGATGCTGCGCGTGCGTAAGTGGTCAGTCACGCGTCAAGGCCGCACCCAGAGGTTTGTTTTTGACTTGCCAATGGCGTAGATTGGCAGGTTTTTTTGGATGATGCATCTTGCTTTCTGGTTTTCGCCGTCTGAACTCATATTCATGGGACTGACCAGCTTTTGCATGAAAGGTGAAAGGCTGAGTCGAAAGCCACACAGCAACTGCGTGTTAGGCATGCTGACGACCAGCCACGGCGACTTGCTTCCATATGCGGCTTGCAGCACTTCGCGTTCTCAGCTACGCTGAGCGCAACATTTGTGAAGGACAAGTGGGTTCGGTGTTCGAATGTTCAACTGGTCAGAAGTTTACAGTGGATGATGGCGCACACTAAGTTTCTATCGGAGGCTTTCTTGTCGAGGATTCCCTTCGGGAGGGAGAAGTGCTACATCATTCTGCGGATGGGCAATATGGCGTCTGCATATTGAGCAGGCTCCACGTAGAAATGCGGCGATGCGGCCGTGATCCTTTGCACGTTGCCCGCGCGGTCAGGTTCCCCATCATCGAGACACGACGGATGTTGTTCGACCGCCCGAAGGACCATGTGCTCATGGTGCCACTGCGAGACGTTTTTTTTAAATTTCCGGACTCCGGGTTTCTTCAGCCCCTGCCTGGCTTCTTGTGCCGGCGAGGGAGATCCTGGCGAACGCCTCTTCATGGACCAGGAAGAGCAGCCGCGGGGCGCACTTGCGGTGCCTTCAGTGCTCATGTCCATCGAAAGCCACCCTCTAAGACTCTCAGAGGGCAGCTATGGAGAGAAACCAGTTTGGTCCCCTGAGAAATGCAGGTGCTCCTGGACATGCGGGAAGAAGATGCACGGCCGATGTGGGTCGTGAACACGCATCTTTCGCACAGGCGCCCTTGCTGTAGGGCCCTAGGGCCCTAGGGTTGGGGCTGGTCTAATTTGGGCCTACCTGTCGCCCTCTCCTGTCACAGGATGGCATCGCAGGAACAAAGGCGGCAGGCGGCGCAGGTGCCATGAGACAAAGAGATTTCAACAGCTGGCAGAGAGTATCAGAGAGTGCCAGAGTGCCCTTCAGAGTGCCCCCCCCCCCCTCCGGCCGAACGTTGGGACGCAGGTCTTGCGATGGATCGACGGTCTACGATCTGAAGATCTTCGACGTGAAAGGTGTGCTTCATCGCTTCTTTTTCTGAGCTCGGGATGTCATGATATCGCAGGCAGGCGAGAATGACGCCAGGTCTACCTTTCTGCTGGCAGCCGATTTGAACTCGCCCTCTTTTCTTCCGTGGTCTGGGTACTCGGCCAGGTGCTGAGAAGGAAGAAAGCATGAGGCGATGCCTGCACACAAGACGGCGCATTTTTCAGGTGATTGCGGCGGACTCCAGGTGGCGAGACCTGTGGAAGGTCCGAGCTATCTTTGAAAGAAGTGTTGGTGGTTGATGGGCATTATTCTGTAAAGGGTGAGCGGCGCATGCGCCCTTGTTAGGAGGCTGGAGGCCCCTGCTGTTGCTCGGCGACCTTCCCCGCCGGCTGGTGTGGTGGCCTCTTCGGAACCAGGACTTGGGAGTGTGCATGAATTGGGTACAACCTGGTACATCTGACACACACACACACACACACACACACACACACACACACACGCCTCTCAACAGGTTAGAGAGTAAACGGGTAAAAAACACCATGTCAGCCTGAAGTTGCCTAAGCATGTGGGCGCGAGGATAGACCACATCTTCGGGCTGCACCTTGAGAACGGTGCAACGCCAATGTGCGAAGCTGCCCGGGTTGTGCGAGAGACCCCGGCTGATGACCCTTGGATCAGATGAAGACACAAACCCTGAGTGTCATGAACTGCAGGTTGCAAGGCGAGAGCCCTTGAACCCTCCTACTCGCAACACCTTCGACGCGTGTGAGGAACTCGCCTCAGACCACTGCGCCGTGCTTGTGCAGATGGACTTCGTGGAGGAGCCGTTCGTGGGCGAGGAAGAGGTAACCATCCACCAGCCTCTGGCGGGCTGACTTCTAAGATCTGTACACCTGAAATCCACTCCAGGCCCTAGTGTGCTACAGGCGATTCTGACGGTAGCTTGAAGCCTTTCGAAAGGACCCTGCTTCGGACTTCTCGCCAAAGTGCGAGGCAAAAAAAGAGCCAGTCCAAAGGCACGTATCGCCATAAGCTTTATGAGGCAGCCGAGATTCATTGACGGGCGCACGTCTTGGAGCACAAAGCTGGACCACTAGTGAGATGGTGAATAAAGGAAAAGCTTGGAACAGCCGTGCTGGAATGACAAGCAGCGGCATGGACTGTAAGGTTCACGTTTGGTACTTCGGCGCCCATCCAGCTGCCAGACTTTTCGCAGCCGCAGTCCGAGCTGTTTGTTTGCAGCAATGCAGAAAGGCAGGGTGGAAGGCAGGGCGGAAGGCAGATGTGTGTTCTGACCAAGGCACAAGTCGTCTCCGCAGCATGAGGCATGGCCTTGACCCCGAGCGAGACTCTGCTGTGCTACTTGTGATGGCCTGCTGCTAAGCGGCTTAGCTTTGTGGAGCGTGTGGTGCAGGCCAAGTCGCTTCGACAAGCTGGCAAAATTCTCAGCACCACGAAGCTTATGGCATGCCATTCGTAACATTGTCACGGAGAATCCAGCACCCAATATCGTAGAAAGGCCTCCCTCTCCTCCCTCTCTCCTCCCTCCCTCTCCCTCTCTCTTTCTCTCTTTCTCTCTTTCTCTCTTTTTTCGTTGTTTACGTGCACGCTGCGTGCCTTCAGCATCTGCAAGTATTCAGGCAATGCCGGGGAAGAGCTGCAGCCTTGGCTTCGACCCAGTGATGTGCGCTGCAGCGCTCAGAGTTTCGTTCCGCGCCGAGGCTGTCTCTGGCACCAGTGAGGGAAGAGCGACCGCTGCCAGACCGACCTCCCCCACCGAGGTCGCCGTGCCCTTCCCAGTTCCCCACGAAACTGAACCAAATCCGAACCAAATCCAAGGCTCCAGGTGGAGGTTTCTGTTTCGGAGCATGTAAGGCCGCCAGCCATCCACCGGCCGCCGCCCCCCTGTGGCGCACAGCCGCCCTTCGTCTCCCCGAGAAATGCCTCACCCAGAACAACCTCCCCGAGGCCCTACCGCCAGTGAGAGCGAGCGAGAGCTCTGGAGTGCGGCACCTCGCGATTTCCGCTTACGACAGGTTGCCTGGAAACTGGCATCCACACATGCTGCTCCCTCAGAGTCACCGATGAGTCCATCACCGAAGGCCAGTTGCATGACACCATGTCTGAGGCCGCAGACAGGCACCAACCTTAGGGTGACCTTCTGGCCATGAAGCGCAGGGTGCAAAGCAGCAGCTTAAAGTAGCGTGGCATTGTATGCTGATGATTTGCATACAGTTTCAGCATGTGCTCGCAGTTCAAAGTGCCAAAGGACACGCATGTGAGTCATGATCTTTGACCGAGGCTTTTACGGCCAGGTTCCGATGCAACCGCCGCCGCAGATGTATGTTCTTTCCTGAGCGCCCCACCAGTCAGTGCCTTGCATGTGGTCTCCATCCGGGCAGAGGGCTAGCTGTATTCGTGCCACGCTCTGCCATGCCCCGTAGCCGCTTGGCTCCAGAACATCGTTTTTTCGGGAGCCTTGGTGTTGGTGCCCCTGGTTATGGGAGCCATGCTGGGGAAGCTCTGTGTTGGTTGCTTCGGAGTTCTCTTTGCCTTGATGCATGGAAGCATTCAGAAGCACTCTGTGGGTGTCATGCATTCCAAGTGACGTTCTGCGTGCTCGATGCCCCCTAACAACTAAGGAACATGCTGTGGGCAACGCTTGCAATGCGGTTTATTGGCCCTCCGGCCAAACGTGGGTACGATTTTTCCACGTTCCCTCTCCTTCCCATTCCTGCCCTATTTATCTCTTGCGCCTGCCTTGCTGTCAGACTCTCTGTTCGTCTTTCTGTGTCTGAATCTGTGTGCATCTCTGTGCGTGCCCAATTGCCAATTTCAGGGTCCCGGTGCATATCATTGTGCCTGACAGGCTGACTTGTAAGGGAATCTTACTACTTGGAGGCCCTTTGTGGGGGTTCCCTACTTTCGAAAACCCCCATGTGCTCGCCGGATGTTGTCGGTTTGGCTGTTGCCATCGAGCTAAGGCCTGCTGCCCATGGAGAGGAGGCTGCCCAAACTGACTTGACATGCATGTGCCACCACATGCTCAGCTAATGTTCGATGAGCACTGATCCCTTTAGAGCCAGACCTGTGCCGCTTCCGTTGCGTGCAGGCGAAAAGAGAGTATCTGCTTGGTGTTGACCCAGGTCCCTTGCTTCAAGTGGGGTGTGTCGTTCCTTCTGGTCCTGTCAGATCGCCACTTGTGGTGCTGTTTCAAACGTTTCAGGGCCGTGTGATCTTGCCAGAGGTAAGCTGGAAGATGGCCCTTTTCTTTTGTCCGTGGATATCCATCTCCCACGATGATGAGACCCGGCTGAACACATACCATGACCAGGGCCAAGATGCTTTTAAGGGCGTTTTGCAGTGTGGTGCTCCAAGGAGACAGAGGCCGAGCCCCTGGGCACGCACTCAGTAGCTTTTGGGGTGCTCTTCAAAGTGCAGAGGCTGCGGGTTACGGCTGGCTGGTTTCAGGTGGAGAGGCATGCAGCAGAAGATGGAGGGTGTGACGGATCATCCATTGATGGTTCTGGGAACCTTGACCTGCTCCAGCATTTGTGTTCAACTCTCCGCGGTCTTGAATGGGTTGAAGTTGTTGGAGCCTTGCAAAGAAGCGTGCGCGTTGCGAACGATTTCCGCGCGGAGCTGGTGCTGCTAGGAAATCATGCCTCTTTCCTCGATGTTATCGTCGCAACTTGCGCCATGCCCACCTCTGTGCTCACCAGATGCCCCAGCCTTGGAGGGGTTGTGCTGTGTCCAAGCTGATCTACTACCCTCCCACAGGCAGGTGGCAGAAACAATGGTGGAGATTTCCGGTGTTCGGCGGGAACTCGCACAATAGCCCTTGCAGTTGAGGGGATGAGGGGACATGGCATGAAAGTCCCTTGCGAGGGCGAACGCCCAGGAGCGTACGTCGGGGTACGCCTGGCTTACCCCAAAGTTAACAGTTCCTAATGTTTTTTTAACTTTGTCATGAATGAAGAGGGATAGGAGAGTCAATGAAAGGGACCAGTTGCACTAAGGGGAGATGTTCTCAATACTGGACTTCCACAAGTAGCAATCATTTCTTAAACTACTAGAAAGATACCCCGCTTTCGTTGAGGTCCTTTCTAGGGGCTTTGACCCGTGTGTCCACTTGAATGGGGGAGTAGCGAGGCCTGGCATCCTCCAGGAATACACGAAGAGCTGACGAAGAGAGAGGAGTCGGAGCTAGGCAGCTTAGACGGAGAATGAGAGAGGGGCACCTACCCTCAAACCCCACGAGCGAAAGAACCGTAACACAACAGAACGACAGATGCAAAAAAGACAGAACGAAGAAAGAAAGACAGAACGAAAGAGAGCTGCCGCGCAGAGAGAAAACCATAGTGAACGGAAGAGTTCACATCAACCTGCAGCCATGCAGCAATGGTTGTGCCCTGACCGCCCCTCCCTGCCCCATTCTGAAGGAGGACGGAGGGATCGCAGAAGATCACCAACAACAGCGGCCTGAAGCAGTAGAAAGTAAAGGTAGCAAGAAAGAGTACAAGAATGAGAGAGACGACCCCTGCCGCTATCGCATGACATCTGTGTGAGGCTATATCAGGTTCGGGCTTTGCTGCATCTGGACTGTGCTGCAACATGTTTTTCAGGGTGTGCTAGTGCATCTTTGATTTCATGTCACAAGTGTGTGTTCTAGGTGGACAAGAACAGAGACTAAAGGACAAGCATGAGTTAATCCTCAGCCACAATTGAAGCCTCCTATTTTTGGTTGCTGTTGAGTTGCCCCCAAGGCCGGACCTACATGGATGCGCATTTGTTCAACATGCCGCTAGTGTCGACAATTTGCCGCTCCTTGCATTCGCAAACAGACACACCTGCTCGCGATGAGTTTTGACATTGGACCAACCATGAGACTATGGAGAACAACTGCACAATATTTGTGGCATGGGGGCGGTTTGTTTATTCTGCTGAGGCTCTGTGGGGCACTTTCCCGTTTACTTCATTAGCGACCGGGATGGCGTCTTCAAGGTGGACAAGGAGACGGGCCTTTGAAGAGCTGAAAAGTCATGAACATGCTGAACAGTTTGGGGTTTAGGGGGTTTTTGCGTTATAACTAGCATTTCCTGTGTTTAGGCTTGTTGGACAGGAGAAGAACGAGAAAGTTGATCAGGAAGAGTCCTGGCTGCATGACACGGATGCCGTCATCCATTGCTTCTGAAAACGTAGTGCAAACCGACAAAACCGTACTTTCAGCTTGTTTATCGGAAGGTTTCTGCGAGTTTGGGCACTACAATAGGGTCAGCCCTACAACACATTAGTCCCTCGCCTCCGGAGCTCGGGCATAATTTTTGAGGTGGACAAGCACCTCCAAGCCGGCGGTTGGCTTTGCTTTTATCCTGAAGGTGGATGGGGAAAGCATGCTGGCCTTTGTGCCCGGGAACAAAGAGGGGTTGCGGCTTGCTCCCGGTGCCAGGGCAGTGCAACAGAGAACCAGACCAACTTCTACCGTTCCGCTTTGGCGGCATGAAGACACTCGGTTGAGATTCAGAACCCCAACAAGATTGAAGGCGCATCAGGCGAGACTCCGCATGAGAAGCGGCAGAAGGTCCGTGAATGTTTGCAGCTGTGCCAAGGAAGGCTCTGGAGTTTGATGCGCGCATGATCTCAGTGCCACGGCCCACACGCGGTTTGGATGTAGCCTCCGGGGTTTGCGGTTTTCGGGCTGTGAGAGGCGGGCTTGGGGCTTAGAGCGCCTAACTCCTAAAGCCTCTGCCCTGCTGCCCCTACAGAGAACTGGCCGGGGGGAGGAGACGGCCACGCGCCTCAGGTCGTGTGCCATGGGAACACTGTAGTTTGGCCGCGGAAGCTTCAGATGGGTGGTTTTCCAGGCACGGCAAATTACGAATACAAGTAATATTGTTATGGATATTGCTCATATGCATAGCTGCATAACATTAATCACAATATTTCGCTGCATGCATTGCGTGCTCGTTTCATCTCACTGCTGCACGGGCCGTGCCAGGATCCATTAAAGTTAGCTGCCGCCAGCTTGCGCCAGATGGTGTGAAGGCCCGGAGAGTTCTCGAAGGCTTCCAAAAAAAGGCCGAGCCCGCCTCTCCCCTTTGTCAGGCACTGGTAAAGAAGCTCCGCGAGTCGGAAGAGACGCCGTCAGAGGAGCATTCCATACAGGGGAGAGAGAGGAATTGGGTTGTGGCTGTGCTGTTTGGACTTCGCAGGACAAAGAAGCCGAGGACCACGTTCTGCTTGCAAAACATTTGCAGTGTGTCATGCAGAAACAGCATCTCGGCCCATCTACCATCTTAGGCCTGCAGGAGTCCATTCTGGTCACATGGCTCATGTCAGAACACCTCCAAGTGCCACTGGCGGCAGCCCCTGCCCAGGTATGACTCTCTGAGGGCCACGGTGCCCAATGGAAAGGCAAAGGGAGACTGAGGTCCACGCCAGCATTGTTTGCAGGGGCGTGCCGGTGCCGGCCATGCGCTCGTTTTGCAAACCGTTATCCTGTTCGATGGGGGACTGGACGATTGCAGTTGGTGAAGACTGACTGCGTTCAAAGGCAACAGGCACGATAACGACTGCAAAGCAGCCTTACGTGCAATTAGATCCTACGCCCCATGTTCAAGAAAATGCAGATCCCTCATAGCAGCAATATCGGTGCATCCATGGTCGAATCTCGTGGCTGTCGTGTCGACCGGGTATCTGCAGCTGAGGTCTACAACTCTGCGGCTGCTGCGGCATACAGCCAGGTCCACTTGCAGAACGCTGGAGCGTCCTAGCGAACTTCCTCTTCCGTTGTCGGTTTCGACCTTGCCTAGCGCAGGCCGCTCAACAGCAGGCGGTTGTCCAACAGGTCGCCGCCCAGCAAGTGGCCGCCCAGCAAGTGGCCGCCCAGCAAGTGGCCGCCCAGCAAGTGGCGGCCCAACAAATGGCGCAGCAACATGCAAGGGGCTGAGACAGGGTCGCAGGAGACCTTAGTGTGGAGAGGCCGCTTCTGCAACTTAGCACCATCCGTTGCGTCATCACACAAAATTCGTAGCTCGTTGTGCCAAGTAGTCGTTCAACCAGGCCTATGTGGAACGCCAGCAGACGTTTGACCACACAGGCCACGGGCAGAGCAGCTGTGCCAGCGGCCTGCTATGGAACTCTGGAATCAACCTTACAGCTGATCAGCTGCAGAGACCGAAAGAACCAGGTGCCTGCGGAGATGGCTACGACCCAGCTTCCCAGGACCGGCAGCAGCGGTGAAACATCGAAACGTTGCTGAACCAAAGCGAAACATCTCTTTTCACTGCCTTCGTGCGCTCTCTCCGATGCTAGGCTCACGAAGCTCACTAATTGCCTTGCAGGAAATTCTCGCTGAAGAGGATGCAGAGGGAGGGCCAGACGTTCAGCAGGCGCCCAGGGTCGCAAGGGCATCCGGGGGGGTCTTCTTCAGCAGACAGAGCACGGAGTGCTGCCGCACCAGGTGGTGGGCAAGGAGCCTCCGCTTTCCATTCGCTTTGCTTTCTGGCCCGGGACTCCAAGCGCTCCTACGGATTCCGGGTTCTCCTTTGGGGCTGGCACGGTCCCGCAGCATTAAGGGAGCCTTAGGGAGTAGTAGGGAGTAGTAGGGTTACATACCCCCCTTGAACCCCCCCTTGAACCCCTCTCCCTTTAGAACTCTCTATAAAGGGGAGGCACCTCTGCAAAACCAGTTTTGGCTCCGTGTCCCATAGCGGGCGATGCGGCCTCCTCGGCATGGTGGCGCGCAAGGCAAGTCTTGTCCAGATGTATAGTAATGTAGTACTGCAGTCTTGTAGGAATATAGCAACAGAGTCATATAGAAAGTATAGTAAGATACCAGTAGCAATATAGTAATATAGTAGTATAGTAAAACCTCCGTATCATAATCATCGGTAGGGTCTAGGGTTTAAGGTTTGTGAAGCGTGCAGGCGGATGTCAGTGGCGAGGAGGACTCTGAAGAGGTGCAGGAGCCGTGGGAATCTGAGAAAAAAACCCTTTCTTTCCGTTTGTTCCATTCCCAAGTTGCCGCAGGAGCACTTGAAGGATGCAGTGGAGGGCACGCTGCGACTCAAGCGCCTGCTGAGCCAGGACTCTGAGGAGCCACGTGGGAGTCACGTGGGCGATGCGCAACAGCATGTCCCGTTGTACGCAAAACGGTCAGCAGTAACGGTCAGCAGTGGTAAGCACTTTAGCGCGGGTGTTGTTGAGACAGGCCTTGTGGGGGGTACTCTTCATCAAAAAGGCCGCAGCCTGCCGCGCATTGCGGGTGTTTCTGTTTTGTGGCCAGGATGGGGCCTCCAAGAAGAAGCGGGCCCTGGAACAGAGCCACGATCGTGAACACCGGGATACCATTGACCAACTCTTGGAGACGCTTGGCAGGAACGTGGCCATGAGTGACACATAACTAAATAAATACATAGATTAAAAAAAGAAGAATAATAATAGCAACAATAAGAATAGTCGTAATCATACTAATAATAAGAATTCTTTGGCAGATGAACACTTAAGAATGGATCATCTGCTGTGAAAGTTTGCAATGTGGGACACCGCGTTTCGCACCAAGGAGATGGGACAGGCTGGAGTCTCAGACTCTCACGCTTTGCCATAAGGAATCCCAACCCCCCCCCCCCCCCCCCTATTGGGGGTTACCTTATTGGCGTCCCGAAAATAAGGGAATCCTGCTATTTGGGGTCTATGTTAGGGGTCCCCCATCGTCGTAAACGCAATATCTCGGCGAAATCTGGGCATCTGCCGAGCCAAGGTTGGATGACAAAGTCATGCTGCACGTTCTGGAAGGGTTAAAGCAGAGGGAGCTCGACTATCTGGTGCGATCCTCCTTCATGCCGGATGAATATAATTTCAGGAGCCTGGGCCGAACGTTACGTGCACCATTCTGCTCAACAGCCCCTTCCCTACCCTTCTCCGCCCTCCATACACATCTTGAGGACTATCCCGGCCGACCAGGTGGCCACGCAGGTCGCCCTGTGCCTGGCACCCGGCCATGCTATGAACAATGTGAATAGTAACGAAACATGACAAAGCAAAAGTTTTAAAGTAGCAGAAAAGATGATAATCAGCATTGCTTCCTGTGGCTCAGGGCTGGAAGGCCAGACGTTGGGTGGCGGACCCCTTGACACGCCTGCCACCTCATTTGAAAGGCAGCAGGCCGAGCAGGGGTTCCGAACTCGGGGTGACCTGAGGCTGCAGACTTTCCGAGACAAGTGGAAGCTGGGCATTGAGTCAGACGGCCTGAGCCTCATGGCGTTGAGGGTTGCCAGAAGTCTGCCACCATCTGCTATTCTGAGGTCTCTTGCGCGCATTGAACCACAAGGCCAGTTGATCCAGCATGTGTCTCAAGCAGCTTTCGCGGTTGCCTGTGACAGGACTTGAGGTACGTGATAAATCACTATGACGGTACGCAAGACATGGCCCAGCTGGTTGTGGAGGCAGCCGACATTCTTTCGCTGTAGTTCCAGGTCTGCGCAGGTGAGCAGGTGTTTTACTTTGCAGCAGCATGTCGCTGCATGTCGCTGCTGCACGAACTTCACCTTACCTCGCCCAGAGGCAAAGAAGTCCTCTCCCCTGGAGGGCCGGACGGAAGGTTGCATGCCAGGCCCGGCCGACGAGGGTCTTCGCCTGTGTTCAATTTTTCTACTTATATTTGGGGCAAGTGGTCTGAGTAGATTCAAGGGCTTTCGAGGGCAGGGTTCTCAAATCAAGGTTGGGGGTCCCAGCCATTGCAGCTGCCCGCAACCGTTCCCGAGCCTCTTGCGGTTTGGAATCTCACAGGGCTTCATCGAGTCCGTTGTCCTTGATTGATCGCCTGAAGAAGTGCTTGTTGAAGTCATGTCGCCTTTTTTGGCAATACGAGAGAGTCTACATTCGGGTTCCTCAAGCGCCGGATCTTCCCTGAGATGCGCCGGGCTTGGCCGCCATTGGCCGCTTCCATCGGCTCGAGCTCATCGACCCCACTGCAGATGCTGTGGAGACTCGGCTGGGCAAAGGGGGGTGGCTGAGTCTGGCTCTGGCTTCTTTTAGTTTCTTACTTGAAGTTCAACTCGCTTCATGCAGTGGGCCCCCCGTATCAAAACCCGACACCCCCGCCCACGAAAATCCCCAAAGAAGCCCTCGAGGATCCCCCCGGAACCCTTTGAGCCTTTGAGGTTTTTGGGGATGCCAACTTGAGCTTCGCGCCGCTTTGCGACAAGGAAGTTCAGGGGCTCTTTGAGCCCTTGGGTTCCTTTTGAGCTGTTCTTTTGAGAGGATGCGCGCGACTTAGCGTGCTGTGGGTTCCCTGATCCTGAGCGCTTGCTGAGGTTGAATTTAGCAAAACATCGCAAAGTTCTGGGTCGCGGGCTGGGACTTCTTCTTTTACGCTCCCCCCCCCCCCCCCCCCCCCCCCCCCCCCCGCATCGCTTCAGCTCTAGCGCCTTCAAGGCAAGTCAGTTTCTGGTTTCGTTTCAGGCCATGTGGGCCGGGTTATTGCCACAACCTTCGAGTCTTTAGAGACGCTGAGGGAGCGCTATGAGGCCAGGAGAAGCGGGCCAGCGGCAAAGGTGGTCTCCGCTTAACAGTCTAAACTGCAAAGCTGACGCAGGAGATAGATGAGACCATCAAGACCCTGGAGGACGAGCCATGCACACAGCCTGACACAATGTTCTAAGGCGCTCAGCTATCGCGTATTTTGAGTGTTGTGTTAAGAGCGATTTGCGCAAGATGCCCCACATGTCATGGCAAGGATCACTTCTCAGACGTCCATCACGAGATCGACTGCACCCGAATCGCTATGAATCCGAAGTTTAAGGGTCTGGAGGTTTGGGCCGACTCTTAAAATCAAATGACGCTTTAGCCCTGAAGCCTGTCAGGGGACCATTGGGGCAGTTTACTACAACTTTCCCCATGCGGGCCAGAAGCCAAGCCAAACAGAGATTTCGGAGAGCAGAACTTGGCGTCACTAGTTGCAGATGTTGCAAAAGAGGAGCCGTGGGTGGCTTTTTCGACGGTCACCCGTTTGTGAACTGGCGTCATGACGCACGACTGCATGGGGTGGGCAGCTAGGGCCACAGTCCGCCGCCTGAAGCAACTGTGACCTGCGGCTTGCTTCTCTTGAGGAAAACTTGATGCGCTTATTCTTTCGGGCGTTGCGATCCTTCATGAAAGTCGGTGGCTTGGTGAAGGCCATGGCTGAGGGATATGGGCAGAAGGCGGCAGAATTGAGAACCTTCGCTGCATGCCGAAATCGTAATTGATAGCTTGCTCCCTTTGTAGGTGAGAGTTAGGCTGCTGTAGTGTGATGATCTGCCAGGTTGCTTCGAACATGGGAGCAGTGGGCGTCCGATATTCGACACTTGCCTGAGCTGCGAACGTGGAAGATACGTTCAGTTTACGACCGTCTGTAACACTGTAGAGTGCGTTAGCCGGTAGAAACCAATGTCTTGGAGTTGCCGGGAGAATAAATAAAGTAGCTCAGGTACATAACCTTCGCTGCCAAAGAGAACGAATTTGATCATGTTCGCGCCCAAGTCTTCCATAAGAACACACGGTCTTTCATTTTGTGAGCTGCTGGCACAGAAGTGGCATGTGTAGCCCATCGTCTGGCGTTCCTTCAGCTTGACCCTGTTGCCAGACGGCTCTGACAGTGCTTGTTTGCACGATGACTGGAAGTAGCGGTGTGTACTGCAAGGAAGGTGAAGTGATTGGGTGAGCGGTAACCGAGACTAGCACAGAACTCTTTCTTTGTCGGACAACAAGTCAGAGACCGATATTCGTAGTACCCCTGCAGTGCATCCATGCGCGCATGGCCACTGTTCCGGTGTACTCACTCTCTGGCGAGCTCCTGGCCAACGTTTCTATTTATGATGCTTGGTAGCAGACCCATGCTTTGGCACGTCAATGCTACGATCGTTCTAGGTGATCGGTGCGTGCGTTGCAGCAGGCGGGTGACAAAGTAGCATCCATCCTCCGGCAGATCTCCGTGCCATCTGTGCGCCTAGTGCCGTTTGGATGCATGATATGACTATTCTGATTCTGAAAGTCGGATCAGCAAAGCTTAGGTTGCAAGGGCAAGAGCTGTCTGTTGATGACGAGGTGCCCTGCTTTCCATTGCTTGCAAGATCATTAGTGGACCTGCGGGGGTGTTAAAGGTCTCGGCAGCTGGGCTGCTTGTGCCCGGCGTGGAGCTCACAGCTGTGGTGCAGCCAGGACGCGGTGGCTTTGAGGCGATATGTCGAGCTGGTACCTCTGTAAACCATGAATCGAAATTCTTGCTCAAACGTTCACGGCTCGGATTCATGTGACCCTTTTGAAGATGCGGTTCTCCGAAGTGCAGGCCACGAGAGTGCTGACCACCTCAAAAGATGCAACGGCCAAGATTTTCGACCTTGAGACAGGTGGCTTCCCTCGAATCACAGGGCAGAGTAGCGTTGCTATTCACAGTTTTCAATCGTGGCCACTGTCTCCGTTTTACGTCGATACAGTATCGACGTATCGAGAAAGTCGTTTGTTTGTGCTTTGTAGCGTGTCGGGCAACAGTACAGATTTGGACTAGGTCTATGTGAGTGCTCCTTCAACGAGAACTTCGACGACACGGGCTACGAAGACATCATGTCAGCCGATGTCTCTGACACTTCGCCTGCCTGAACGATCGGCAAGAAACGACTTCGTTATGGAAATGCCTTTGGCAGCTTGCTCAAGCAACATCGCACTGTGCCCTGCACCCAGGAGAGTGGGAGTATCTTTCTCATGGCCTGTGCGAACGGCATGGTCTCGTTGTACAAATCGAGCACCGGGGAGAGGATCTATCGGTTTCAGCTGGAGGAGCCGAAGTTTCCTGAAAGAATAGGAAGGGGTGCCGCAGTTGTTACTCTGGATTGAAACCCTGTAATAAACACACGAAGCTGTTTCAAGTCTGCAGTTGCACAATCCAGAGACAGAAGAATGAAGCGCTCTTGCAAAGCAGTTGAAAACAACATACAACACCACATTCAAATATGTTGTAGTTGCAGTAGATCTGCCGCTCCATCAAACGAAAACAAGGATGTGTTATGCAGGGCCTCCGTCGCAATCAAGCAGACCATTCTTCAGATAACTTCCTCACTTTGGGAAGCAAGACAGAAGTGGTGAGGAGGCGGGGGCTCGAGCATGCCCGTAAATTGAAGATGCCCAGAAGAATCGATAACCCACTGATTCATTGAAAGCCAAACGACGCACAAACCCATCGAAAAGCTGTGCATTGCAGCCATCCGCTCGGAACCAGAAACGAAGTCTGTCGAGAACCTTGCAGCACCCTCCACCGACATGCAGACAAAAGTCTCAAAATACCGACACCTGTGCCGCGTTCCAGGGCCTTGCGAGTGCGGCATTGGCTCCAGATGGCACTATGCTGCTTCTCGTGAGTGCCGAAGGGGACGTGCACCTTGTCGACTGGGCGCAGAACAAGGCACCACGCGCGCTTGCTGCGCGCCTTGGTCGCAGACGAACGCTTGTAGCGGCACAGGTGGCGTCATGAGACTCAGACGAGGCTGGGGCGCGCCTTGCAAGCCAAGTTCTCCCCCAACAGCGCGAAGGTGGGGATGGTTTCTGAAAAGGGCTGTCATGTTCCCTCGTTCCATGTTTCCATGGCGCAGGCCAAACATCCTGGCAGCAGGTGGTCGTTGCCTTCAAGGAGCACACGGCGCAGATATTCGACGTGAGGTTCGGGCAGAGCGAGCAGCTCTTTGAAGGCCACATGGGCCATGTTTTGGCAGCGACTGGGCAGCAGTTGAGCGAATTCAACCACAGGAATGCAGCCTAAATAAGCATGCTGTAGTGATCACGACAGCTCGACCGCACCATGCCCTGACAGGGATCTGTAGGGAGGTTGTGTGCTGCTATGCGCCTGGGACCGCTGCTTCTTGCAAGGCTGCAGCCCGTCCACGTGTGTTGTTAGCCGGTGTGTGGGGTCCTGGTTCTGTCGTCATTGATTCTGCGCTTGTGGGTTGGAGTGTGGCGGTGTTCTGGTTGCGGCCTTCTGCAAGCGCGCATGTGCGAGAAGCACTTCGGTGACCAGGTCGCCCCTTTACTCGTACAATAGGTGAGTCCTCCTTTTGCAGGGCTGTGCTGTGCCGGGCCTGGGTGGTTTTACAGGTCCCAGCCGGGCTGGGCTGAAGCAAGTCCTCTCTCATACCCCATGCTACTCGTACTGTTTTCATTTGTGTCTGTACACTACGGCGGAGATGGTGAGTGGAGATTTTGTTTCCGCATGTTCCCCTATGGTGTGGCATTGCCCCTGACGCACTACCTGACAATGTCCGACTCAGGGTTCCCGGCAGTTCCCGGACCTGCATCTTGCGGGCAGTGTAGGTTGCACGACGTTAGCTACGATCATGCGCCATTCCATGAAGATGCGCGCAGCTGAGGCCAGGTTTTCTCCTGACATGTCGAACCTTGGACCGGAATGAGCAGCATGCGGCTGATGAGTGAATGCGCCCTCTTGCACATGTTTCAATTGTCAAGGACCCTTCTGACAAGTTGTGCCGATGGCGTACTCCGGCTGTTTAATGCCAACACCGCCTCCCTCATCCGCGACTTCCGCAGGCAAATCAGCATCTCTGAGGAGCATTGCAGCAAGTTGAGCTCTTGGGCGCTGCGTAGGCATGCGGGATCTGCTCGCAGCTGCTGCTTCTCGCCTTGTGGGGAATCGATCCTGGTGGGGGCCGTCAGCGGCAACGTGGCCAAGATGTTTGCGGTGGACGATGGCAGATGCACCAGGACTTTGTGACTTTGAGACAGTCTATCGCCGCAGAAACTACAGAGCCAGAATATGGCAGGATACCCCAGTTAGGATGATATCTGATGAGGGCCAGCAGCTGTTCGAGCTGATGAAGTCATTTACATGCCGCGCCAGGACCTTCTCGGGGCACACAGGCAAGGCATCCTGAATTGCGACTTGGAGAGATGGCCATCGCTGGTCATGCACTGCGCCAGGCTTGCTGTCCTCGGCCGTCTTCTCCCCTAGCGGTGATGCAGTTCTGACTTGTGCGGGTGACTGGACTGCTCGCTTGTATGATGTGGAGACGGCAGAGTGCCTTCGTGTCTTCAGTGGCCATGAGGACATTGCAACGCCCTGGAAGCATGTCGTCGATTGACATTTTGCGCTGGGGCCGCTTAATTTCGTCGGCTGATGTCAGGAGGGCCTTCTCGCGGCCATCTTTCTGCCTGCAGCTCTAACACACACGGCGGGCTCAGCTTGTGACGATGAGTGAAGAGCTGACCTTCTCTCAAAGAGAGAAGAAGGGCAGCGCGAGACCAAATAAAAGGCTGCTGTCCATGCTTGCAACAACTCACAACTCATGCATTCTTGTCAAATATCTGCCAAGTACCTGCTAGTCCAGGGTTTTGAGGCCCATCTGTGCTTTGAGGTGGAAACTGTGCCTTTCCTCCAGTGGAACCTTCATCGGTACGGCCGAGCATATGGCGATAGGCCAGGAGCATGTTTAGAGTCTAGAGTCTTCAGTTCCTAACTCTTCCGATGCTTTTAGGGTTTTCCTTGAACGAGACTCTTCTACACTTAGAGCTGCCCAAAAGGCGCGATGCTGGTCGCCGGCCTGGCAAAGCAGAGAACTACAACGCCCAGCGGGCCGGGGAGCCTCTTTGAGCGGACATGTTGCGCAGATTGTTAGCTGTCTTCGCCATCAGAATGGCGCAGTTGTGATTGTGTGCAGTACGCAACAAGACACCATGGGACTTTCAGGCCGATCGAGACATGGTCTACACCTTTAGATACAATCCCAGTGGCAAACAGCTGCCCCCGCCTGCCGGCTGCACTATCTTGACTTGACCCCCCAATCATGGAAGTAGCCGTGGGCCTTGGAGATGCAATGCTACCCCAGGCAAGGCATCCGACTGCCGCCAACACTGAGCACGCTGGAAGAATGTCCAGATGGTGCTGGTCTTATGGCTCTGAGAGCACTGCGCACATGCCTTGTGCATGCTTGAGAACGTCCCCTGGAATGCGAGCTTTGAACATCATGCCAAGCGTCCGGCCTGAACACATGCAAGGCCCCTTTTCCTGGCAACCGGCCGAGACAAAGAAGCAGCTGGTGCTGGGCCTGGCCTTTGCTGTTGAGGTTCTGGTCCAATATGTATGGATGCTGTGTCCGGGTATCCGTGCCCGTGGAGATCGCATGTGGGCTCTTGATGGGGTAGAAGGCTCGAGGCGCCTGCTCGGCAAAGCTGACTGGGCGCTAGGATCTCACGTAGGCCGGAGAAACGGAGGAACAGAATAATGGATCTCAGCAGAGAAGTTCTGCGCATGGTGCGGATGGGTGCTAGAAGTTTGTGGACATATTTTTTTGATGCATCCAAGTTTTCTGTCAATACCAGCCTGACAAGAGAACAACCCATATTTTTTGGGAATGATGCGGCATGTCGAGCCCGCAGCCTAGCCAGGCAACGCCGGGTGCTGCAGCAGAACCGCAGACCAACTGGTGTAATTCTAGCCAGTGCACTCGAAGGGTTCGTAGCGGGTTAAGCCGTCGCATATGAACAACTGCACATGGGTTGCGGCATCTACCAGACCGTGGATTACGTAGCATGTTCACCCAAGGAAGATGCACCTCAAGTTGTGGCATCCTGGTTGCAGAGATTGCGGTTTGCAGTCGTCATGCTCTGGTGCCAGCAGTTCTGCAGAAGGGACTGCTTTGAGACCTGAAACAAACCTGAAACCTGTGTTCAACTGTTGAGGAGCGCCCGGCTGGCAATTTGAGGAAAAGTGTCTCTGCACCGGCTCTCCAGGAAGGGCCCTTGCAGAGAAGCAGTCGCGGTCGCTGGAAGCCCTTGTTTCGAGATCCAACTTTCGGTGGAAGCGTTGTCGGCGGAGAGCACAGAAAGGCCCGACATGCGGAAAGCACAGCGAGCATTGAGTCTTGCGACAGCTTTACGCCCGAACTGACAGGGAAGGCAAAGTTTCAAGCAGACACGCAGCAGCTTTGTGTTTGAGGATGAGGCTGGGATGCGTGCTGACGGCACATTCTGCTGCTGAACATTATGGAGATCATGTTCTACATTATTTGATCTGTATGTCCCTGCATTATGTATCATCAACGCTATACATGTGTGATGCCAGGCGGAGGTCTTGCTTTCATCCCATGATGGTCGACAGAGGCGATGCTTTCCTTTGTGGCACTGTGGTAGAAGACATTTGTGGGTTTACGAAAATCCTGGGAACCCTAAAATAGACCCCCAAAGAAGAAAGATGTCCTTAGAATACGGCCCCCAAGAAGGCACCCTTATTTTTCGCAAACCCCTGTTTAAGCAAGCAAGCAAGTACCTGATGACTCAAGGGGGAGAGAAGGGGGTTTCAAAGGGGAAAGGCAAGAATAAGAGAGAGGCAAGCTGTGTCAAGGAGCCCACTCTATCCCACCCTGAAGTCTTGGGAGGGCCTTTTTTTTTTTTTCCTTCAGATGTGCTCTCAACTACCCTGAATTTGACATGTTCCAGGCCTTTTGGTGCCTTTTGTGGGGTGGTCAACGTAGACTTCTTCCATCTTGCTTCCGCTACGGTTACCAGGACCGGGACTGGCGAGGGCATCTCCGATCGGCTACAGGCAGTTTGGAAAATCGTGGTGCAAAACGAGGAGGCCCGCCCAACGCTGCATGCAGGAGGAGTGCTTAAGGGGGCACTGAAGATGTGGGGGTCCTAAACACCGAACTCCGAACCCTAAACCCCAATTCCTAAACCCTGGACTTGGTTCGGATTGCAGGTTCGGGTTGCTTGTACTTTGGAAAAGTTTGCTTGTTCTACTTGTTTGTCCTACAAGGAACAGCCCTGGGGCCTGATCAAAGCCATCCCGTTTTTCTGAACTTGGGCTCCAGTATGTCTCAGACCTTTCCCCGTAAACGCTTGCGACACGGGTGGGAAAAAACCCTAAACCCTGAACCCCAAACCCTAAACCCGAAACCCGAAACCCTAAACCCTAAACCCTAAACCCTAAATGATTTGATCCGCCAGGATAAGCCCGACGCCCCTCCCACGCCCTCCTTGCTGGACATCTTGGCTCCGCCGGAGACGACGCTTCCAAGAATCGAGACTTCGAGCCGCGGCCTCTGTGAGCTTCTTTTAGGGGGTTTAGGGTTTAGGGTTTAGGGTTTAGGGATTCTTGGGAACAGTTTCTTTCTTTTTGGTGCCATAGCTCCCAAGAAGCAGCTAGATTTTTTTTTTGTGCGAGGGTTCCAGGTTCAGTATAGTTCTCTGTTGAGTGGGGGGTAGGGGGGGCCCTGCACTGGGGCCCTTTTCGTGCCCCCATTCTTTTGTAGTCAGCGCGCGCCGTATTTCACAAAGCATGCTCTCGGGAATATGTGGGAATTGGGCAGTGCTCTGCCTATAGCAAGACCGAACAGCAAGCAGCTAAGTCGCGACACGTCGTTAGGGGACACGATGGACACACCAACTTGCTCCAGAAGTTCTGGAACTTGCTCCAGAACCTGGTGCACAAGCAGTCACTAGCAGTCACTAGCAGTCCCTAGCAGCCACTAGCAGTCACGAGCGGCATGGCTCGACATGACTTTGCCCAAAGTGCCGACGCCGCTTGCGCTGGCAGAATGCCTTCGAAGCCTCGCAAACGACTTGGAGCGCTGCTCGGACCCCGCCAAGGCAGAAGGAGCTGTCGAGGCTCGCCAAGGACTGCAGCGCACTTTGGCCACGTGTTGGGCCGGTCGTCCCCTGCCTCCCGCCTGTGCTGCTTTGAGAGACCTTCTAGGTGAATCGGCTTTGGACGCGGATGTGGAAGTTAAGATTGTAAAGCCGAATGGTGAGAGCTCCTTCGTGGGCATGATTCTTCGAAAAGGTGTAGCAGAAGCTGTGGTAAAGTATCGCGGGGAGTTTCCATCGATTGCATTTCGAGAAGAGTGCAACTATGTTTTTGCGGACTGGCTAGGGTTTCATGATGTGGTGGCCCCCTGCATCGCCCTGGATCTACCCTTGGCTTCGAGCGAGTTCACAGATCTCAGTGTTATGGATGTGCTGCGCAAGCACACGGCTGTGTGGGCCCAGGCGACGCAGGAACACTGCAAGACGTGGCCGACCAATATGTGGGTGACGGTGGAGAAGTGCATTCGAATCGCGGAGTCGGAGTCATCGCGCGGGCCCGCCTCCCGTCTGGCCAATTTCTTTGGTTCGGTGGACCTCCGGCAGGCTTACGCAGCAACCCCCAGCGGACAGTGCTGTGGCATAGAGGCACTCTTGAGAGACACCTACACCCGTCAGCAACCTACAGATGCTGACTTTTTCAAGGTGGTTTCTAACTTGGATGTGCAGAACGTACATCGGCTCTGCGTGTGTGCTTGCATAACAATGCAACGAGACGGAGGCCCATCAAATCTGATGCTAAGACAGGCAAGGCCACAAAGCCCACAAAGGCCACAGGAAGGAGAGGACTCATGCGAGCCAAATTCCGGAAATTCCGCTTTCGAGCTGGTCTGCATTGACTCGACACGAGTTCTGAACGCATTTCCCAGCGAGGCAATGGTTTTATTTGACGAACTTGATGGGACGATCGGCCCGTTTACATATTGGTTTCCGGCCTGCGTTGAGTTGCCCCAGTCTGAGGAGGTCCTTCATCCGTCCGTTGCTTCTGCCGTTCTGTCACTGGATGCCGATGCCATGGAAGGTTTTCTGGCGCAGCTCTTGAGTTTTCCCGGTGCCTCTTTGGCACGGAGCAAGTGTGAGGCACTGGCAGCTTCTGACCGGCTCAGGCACATGCAGAGCTTACTTGGTGAGGAGCCGGAGATTACGGCTCGAGAGCTCTGCTTCAGGGTGATGCCTCTTTGGGAGGCAGACTACTGGGCGCCGGGTCGCAAGGAGCTAATCCCTTTCCATGAGCTAGGAGTGCATCTGCACGAGGGCGGTAGCGCGGAGGAATGGGGAGAGAGGTGCAGCTGGCCTCATAGCACTGAACATGCCAGCGAGATCGTGCCAGTTTCTCGACCGACTGTGAACGACTTCTTCTGACTTGGCCGAGTTGCCTCGCCTGCCGAGCAACACTTGAGATACGAAGGAGTAAGCACATGAGGTTGGTGGCGAAGGTTGAGGGACACGAGAGGCCACGCAGTGGAGAAACAGTGTGAGGGCTCTGGTTCTCAGATGCACACCCTCGGCATACCGTGACCTCCAGAATCTCCCAATCTCCAGCCAATCTCCTGGCTTTGTAGAGTTTACATCAATTTCAATGTGCTCTCCGTGCTAAGGCGATCGGCGGAAGGTCAGTCGCCTAAGCACGGGCAGTGCTTTCAGCAACATCTCCTCAGTGCCGGGGTCTTGGAGCGGTTCATCCGAAGTTCGTTCATGGTGTCAATACACGTGCTTTTGTGTGTTTCTTCTCTGTTCCTTTATGGTTCGCACCCGTGCCTAGGACGAGCTGCTCGCAAGCAATCGGGCTCGTGAGGCAGGTGTCAGACGCGCAGATGCAGCAGATCGCACATCGTGCGTCAGAAGACTCCCGCACATCATCCTCGGCCTTAGAGTCTGGGCGGCCTCTGCGTGGATCGTCAAAGCTGTCCATGGACTCCAAGGGACCCGTCCATTCCCCTCCAAGAGCAAAGCAGCCCTTGATGCCCTTGGAGTCGGATTTGATCGCGCTCGGAAGTGAGGCAGGGGTGGGGGGGGGGGGGGTGATGTCAGTTCGTCCAGGAACAGTCTGTAAGAATATTAAAATACAGGGGCTGCTCGAACTGGTATAATTAACTTGTACACCCACGGTGGTAGCAACTTTCGATCAGAAAGTCCATTGAAAGCATCCTGAGAGGCCGATGCATCGGAGTCCGACAGTCAGGTTGGGATGCGGAGAAAGTCCTCTCCAGCATGAGGGGTCACACTCCATCATCCATCATAAGCGAGGGCCTGCATGATGACTCTTATGATAGAGAGACCTCTCCCCCCCTCCACACACGGATCGGAATGTCGAAGTAAACCCTAGTGCATGCTGTTTGTTCATGATCTGCTGCTCCGGTGCCAGGCCTCGCCGACTCCGAGCCCTTGGGCTTCTGAAGACGGCTTGCCACCACCAGCTGGCCGCTCACCAAAGGGAACGCCCAAGACATCGCCCAAGAGCTCCCCGAAGATGATGAAGGCTGGAAGCCTGGGCAACCTTCGGGAGAAATCCCCCACGTTGCAGGTTCGGGCGCTCCCGTCCCCGTCCGAATCCAAGAAGCTGACGTTGCCCAGGACTTGGACTGACTCAAGGCTACCCCGAGAGGCTGAGCCTAAAGTACTGGACAGACCAAGCACATCCGAGCTCAAAAGCAAGTCACCTCGAGCTGAGAAGACCTTGCTTGAGATGGAGCTGCTGCTGAGCAAGGGTGACCCCAAGCCAGTGAACAGGCTTCTGCCTGGCATTGAGAGGAAGCCCTCTCGTGAAGTATCCGAGCCGATGGGATCACGCCCACCGTCCCGGGCAGGGTCCAAGCAGATGCACAGTGGAAGGACCTCATCCAAGAGTGTTTCGGACCAGTCGCTGGGCCACCTGCCGAACCACAAGGCGGGCTGGCTCTCTAAGCTACTGCAGGGCCCTGAATTCAACGGCTCCGTTTTTCGATTCGGCACCAAAAAAAGGGTGTCATAATCTGGATCATCTGTAAGAGGTGTCGTACTCCTTGCGAAGCTAACCAGGTCTTGTCTGTCTCATGTGCTTCCTCACAATCCGGTCAGGAACTCTCGCGCGCGGCAACCTCTGAGTCTCCGCTTCTGTCCTAGCTCGTCCAAGCCCATCGCTATCTTCCCCGTCCCCTGAAAGGGGACAGACAGAAGACTGTCCCCCTAAGGGGGACCTCAGGAATCAAACGGTCAACGAGATCTGCGGTTACGATAGAGTGCGCATGGAGGGCTGCCGTTCTTCCTGAGGTCCTGTGATCTCCTGACGTGTTTCGCTTGTGTTTGATATGGCCTGAATTTCAAAGCTCAGTGAAGCTGAGGGTTTGAAAAGATCAGGCCCGTCTGCTAATAGCCTTCCTGCACTATTCACACACCTCTCAGAATGCCCGGGGGACGACATCTTTGCGTCTGCCACAGGACTTCCTGCGTGTTCCGTTCTGATGAGCTCCGTGCGCGGACTTGTCACGACTCTGTAGTGACTTTAGTGCAGTGAGTCACCACGGGCCACTTGCACATTGAATATATCGTATTACTTTCAGAACTCAGTCGCTTTATGTGCAAGTGCGCTTGTCTTTCCTGTAAACGTGCCGAGGCGGTACCAAATTCAACAGGATACCGGCCCAGCGTTTGCAGTCTCTAGACTTTACGGCACAAGAGCATAACCGAAGCATACTGTTCCAATTGTTTGTTTAAATCTGAACTGCTTGACAGCAGTTACCGCATGGTTCACAGGGACTGCGACGATGATGTGTTTGCAGGTGATGAAAGGGCTGCTGCATTTCTTTTGTGCAGCAACACAGGCGGTCAGACTGCTGGGGGTGCGGTTCTAGGTGCCACTGTGAAAACTGACCCTTGCCGCTTTGCCGCTGCGGCAGACGAGCTAGGCCAAGTCGCTTCACGAGCGTTTCATCAAGGAGTGCTCTGGCATCCATGCCGGATCCCTAGTCACGCTTGCGAAGGCTTCTTCGAGCAGCCAGCTGAGTATACTGAGCATGACTGACCAGACCTTGTGGTTCGAAAGAGTCACACATTGGGAAAGAAGTACGGATTTGGTCTTGTTACATGAGATGCAAGTCAGCGGTGCCAAGGTTGGCTAACGACCTGCCGCGTCCTTTGAAACCAGTGGGTAAAGACATCTGTCAGTGCAAATGCTTCTTGTTGTCTGCTTGAATGAGATGTTAATGATTCTTAGTGAAGGCGCTTCATCGTGGGCGAGGTGTGGCTACACGTCATGATGATTGGTGGGTGGTTGTAGAAGGGCAGCTGCGAAGACGTCTCGTGAGTACAAGTATTGTAGTGCTGGTAGACAATTCGTCCAGTGGAGCATATTGCTTCCATGTTTCACCAGGTAGGTTCAAATGACGAAGATAGAGCATTTAGATCACTACCAGTACCAGTCGTTTGTTGGAAATGCATTGAGGCATATCACGATCCAAATGAAAAGGGATGTTCCTGGTCGGAGATGGCAGACCTTGCGGCACGAGCAAAACAATTGAGAGCGTCGGGCACGAGCTGTGTTGCAGTTTGCCGTAGAAGGCCCACGCAAAAGCAGAAGCACGCAGCCCTGGCATTTGCGCCAGAATGCTCGCTTAGGATTGAGTCCACGTGCCTCGAGCTTTGCACCTGCTCGTCACTGCAGGCCTGAGCTTTGGGCATACAATAACATGTGCAGATTCCAAACGACATGAACCTGTGAGTCTGCTTGTTCAGCCTGTGGGAGTTTGCAATATCGTTCTGGTGGAAAGGGCATTCAGACATGGTCGGCAAAAGTTGTGATCCACAGGTTACTGCCATGACCCCGAAACTCTTCCCACTCCAACCTGTGTTACTGTGAAGCACAAACCTCGAGATCCGACCGCAGAGATGAGGGAAACGATGCCAATATTGAATAGGCCCACCCAGAGCAGAGAAGCCCGCAAAGCCATGACTGAACAAGGCAGAGCAAACAGGTACTCCTTTGTGTTCGTTGGCACCCGCACTGCATGCATGGCAGCCAGGCGAGATCGATCCTGGCGTGCGTCTGCACGATGTGCCTCATCATTGGTGCCAGCCCGCTGCTGCCTTGCCTATGCTTAGGGAGTGGGGCCCTCCAAAGTGTGACACGGTACAGCATGGAGTTGACTGGTGCTTGTGTCCCGAACTCTGCCTTTGCCGCCAGAACGCCCGTACTTGGCTCAAAGCTTTGCGTTTGAGCTATTGGGCGGGGCCTCGGAGAGCACTCTGGAGGCCTGCAGAGCCCAAGTGTCCCAAACGTTGGCGATTGATGATGGCGCTTCCGGCGCAGTCCTGTCATTGCAAGAGGCAGTTGAGGTGAAGCAGAAGTTGCAGCGGTGCTTCTTGAGGGTTTCGATTTTCCCAAACAAGTATCTCGTGCATCCGCACCATGGGGCTCGAAGCTTTCGAGCCGGAGCAGTGTCGAACATGGCGTCCGAAGCTAGTGGCCTCAGTTACTTCCTACTCACAATAAAGCACTCAGGGATAGTTCGTGCAGACTCAGCGTAGACAGCTACAAGTGTAGCCAGTTGCAGGACGTAGGGTCCCTTAGGGTGTGGAATCTGAAGCAATCCGAAGCTTTTCTGCGCCGCCCAAGCCGGGTTAAGAGGGAGCCTGGGCTCGATCGATGGAATCTGAAGCAGATGCTTCGCCTCTCAGCTGGAGATTCTACACATCCTCTCTTTAGGGTTTAGGGTTTAGGGTTTAGGGTTTAGGGCTTTGAAAAAACCTCAGCCAGTCAGGAAAACGGGCTTCCGCGAGCTCTTGGCAAGACTGGAGTCGTTCAATGATGAGAGAGAGCAGGCATCTCGGCACCATGTTGACGTCTCTCGTCTGGCCGTGTTGCAAGGATCTCATGTCAAAGTTTTCAAGGTGTCCGGTGTGTCCGGTGTAGAGCCCTTAAGGAATGCCGACGGCCACGCGAGCCGCATACTTTCGGTCGGCGTAGCCCACGTAGAGAGAATCCAGCAGAAAGGCTTGAAGAGCCTCTTGAAACCATCTGAAAACTTTGAAACCCAGGGTTGTGCCTTCCAACCACATGCTCAAACTGGGCCCATGACTTCTGAAGCCTGGAATTACTAGCCTTCAGCTGCAAGAGGGAGCCATCCACTGAACCTTCGGAGTCTTAGGTGCGGCTCGATTCGCGGAGGTTGATGGCAGATGGGGATCAGCGTAGTCGTCGTGGTAGCTGGTGAGACCCAACGACCCCGGTTGGGGTGACAATATTTCCAAGAATTGAATCAGTGAAGGTTCCTGTTCTTAGATCAGTGGCATCCTCTTGTTCTTGGGCACTTAGGATCTTTCCCCCGAAGCCCGATTTTTCTGAACCAATTGTTTCTGAACTTCCAGACTGTGGAGCAGCTTCGTTTGCTCCTTGCGTTCGAAGTTCCTGAGGAGTTGACTCGATTGCGGTGCCTGTGCTGCACACAGGCATAGAGTCCAGAAGGCAGTTGAAACAGCATGAGCGCTAACATTTTGCGTGTCTGGGCCTTTTAAGGACGGAAATCGAGAAATACAAGGCATCTGGACGGCTTTCTCGAAGCATGCACCGCCATGTTCAGCTTGACAGGCACTGGATCTGAGTGCACAGGCAATGGATCTGAGCCCCACGGTGCCTCGGGAGCGAAGGAGCTTGGAGGCATGCGGAGCAGGACAGGAGTGTGATTTTGCTCGTACTTTGCAGCCGTTTCGCATAGGTGACCTTTGAAGGCATCATAGAGGATGAGTGCAGCTCTCAGCATTTCGGGGAAGACTTGCGAACCTGCATCCCGGACTGACGAAGGCCGACTCAAAGCAATGCAAACGAGTTGGGTGCAGCCCTGCCATGTGTTCGTTGTAGTGCAGTTGTTTCCATGAGGTCCATGTAGAGGCTTGACTATCAAACCCTTGTAAATGTCTGGGACGACGGGTTCAACAGCCGTGGAGTGGCATGTTTGGGAATCTGTCCAGCACTGATGCAAGGGGGAGAGCTGCAAGAGGATCTCCAGTGTTCAAAAGGCACGGCCATGCCCTGGCGCGGGGCTTCGGGTTTCTTGTGCCCTCTGTCAGGCAATTGCCGATGGCCTTTCCCTCCGTGAGCTTTGGATGTCGCAGCACATCGGGACACCATGGGGGGCAGATGTTGCAGCTGATTTGGCAGTAGATTCTAGACAGCATGCTACCGCAACTGTGCCCTAGGAGAAGCACGGCCTACTTGGAGGAGATTAAGGATGAGCAGATCAGGCTTCCAATTCGTGACGCAGCGTTGTCGAGGCTCGTGCCGAGCTGGTTGATGCCAGCCGTGCGCAGGTCTATAGCCGCCACGACTGATCATCAAGAAACCTGGGAGGCAGCTGGGTTTTTGCAGAGTGCATATCGCGGAAGGGGGGGGGGAGGGAAAAGCGTGAGGGTGCACGTTTGACAGGAGCAGATGGTGCAGAAAGCGCCGTATGGCTTCATCCTTTCACCACATGGCCCCAGGCGAAGCATGGTCGAAAGTTGAGAACGCCGGGGGGAGCGCATAGGGAGCTCCAAACGAGAGGCAAGATTGTCAGAGGGACTGCTTCTCACACACGGGCTTGTCTGACCGCAGCAGGGGGGTTCCGCTGCAAGCCGGCTTTTTTGTAAGGGACCTTAGGGGTAATGTAGGGACCATATTTTTGCAGCCTTTCCGATGCCAAAGCCAAGGAGTGGCATGGGATTTCATCTCCATGTTGCTCCTCTTCTATGCTGCCCGGCTCATGTCAGCTTCTCTGCCCTGCTCTCGTCTCTTTGGGGACCATGTGCTGCTCGTCCGGCCTGCGCGCGTCCGGCCTGCACTGTCGCATGAGGATGTCGTGACCATCCCGCTCACTGCTTTTGACCCTGTTCCGCAGCAGCACTACAGGGGGAAAATCGGATAAAGGTCAGGGGTCCGATAGATCACTGATAGATCCGTGGCCTTGTTCCTTTGGGATCCTCGGTCGGAAACTGAGGATCCCACTTTGTTCACGGACACGCATCCTGGCGGAAGCAAGACAACCAGTTTTTGGAGAGAAGGGAGCTTGAAGTGGCCATGTGAGTCCGTGTACGGATGAAGTAAGCAATGGCACCACAAAGGATGGATTGGATTACACAGATCTTCTGGACCTGCGATATTGGAATGTCCTTGATCACGGGCTTTGTCCAGGAAGGCGAGGATGTTATCTGCCACCCCTATGAAGGGTGGAAGACATCGGTTGTGCATGCTTTCTGAACTCAAAGAGGCACCGTCAACTTGCACCCATGGCCGATATTCATAAACTATCTGCTGCCTGGAAGCATTTGTCAGCGAAAGCGCGGGCTCAGGCGAAGCGCTAAGTCCAGTACAGGGTTTGCCACGCCCAGGAAGACCTGGTTTATTCTGGATCTGATTCTCGGCCGATCTCAGAACTCTAGAGAGCTTTCGTTCTGGAACCTCACAGCCCAAGAAGCTTCATCCATGGACCGAAGAGCCTGAAAGCCTGGAAGCTCAAAGAGCAGGCTGGTCTGCGGCCCAGACTGGATCTTCACGATTGTGCCGCTCTGCTGAAGTTTCGGTAACCATTACAGCTGGCTACTAACAAGCACTTGGGCATGTTGAAGCTAGTCGCTACGTCGCATACTACGACGAACGTCCTAGGATGTCGTCGTAGTGCTTTGTGAGGGGAAGCGTCTGATGCATTCCCGAGCCTCCCAGGAATATTTCGGGATCACAGGAAGCAACCGACCCGGGATCGGTCAACAGGCTGCTGCGATCTCTTCGAGTGGTGCCCTGACATTCCAATGACGTTCCCAATGTAGCAGTCGGGTTCCGATGCCGCGAAGTGTTGAGCTGCAGTAGAAGACCACGAGTTGCAGCGAGGTTCGGACTGTCCGGCTTCTTCGTCTTGCAGCTTGGTTGCATCAGTCGTCACGCCGTGTGACGCAACATGTCAGCAATCGGTCTTCTGGCGCAGCAGGCTGGTCATGCTGTGCTGCAAAAGTCACGGCGTCAGGTGAAACTCAAGCGAATCCTGGCGATGATCAAGGATCGGATCACGTCCGAGGTGTGTGAACTGTCTCGGGCAAAAATTGAGCATGTTGCACGCCACACGGAAGAGGTTGCCTCTGTTGCAGGCGGTCTTTATTCTGGTGAACATCTTCCGTATGATTGTCCCGCTCTTAGGCACTGAGGGCAGGTTTGGTACTTGATCTTGTTCAAAGCGAAAGCAGCTGCTGGTATCCTAAGCTCATGCTGCTTCTGGTCAATCATTTCATTGCGGCGACCTTCTACCTCATCGGGAGCTTGGGGCAGCCCCTACACAATTGGCTGGACGTGCTGCGGTTGCAATCTGCTCAGGGAGGCAAACATGATGCACAGCTTGACGTTCAGTGTGTGCGTGTTTGGCACTGCGGCCCAGGCTTACAAAATGCAGAAGGTAGACGCAGACTTGTTTTTCCGCTACAGAGACCTGGCTTTCTTCATGCGCAAGTATGGCAATTTTCATCTTGGCCTTTGGGTTGCATCTCACGCCGTGTTCAGCTGTTGCGACATACCCAGGCACGAGCCTCCATTGGTCTTTGACGCAATTCACACCGGCCTCCATGGATGCGGGGCCCTCAAGCTGCTGGGAGCACCACTGCCATGGAGGGCTCGGAGCCTTCAGGTCCATCCGCAAAATGTTGCTGAACGTTGCTTTGCCATCTTGGCGCCCAAGCTGCACCTGATCCAAGAAAGTTCACCTCGCTTCGGCAGCATCTGTGAGACGTACACCTCTTGCTCAGAGGTCTTGATTGCTGGTCTGGTCCTATTCTCCTCCTTCATTAGCTCCATTACTGCCCGGATCTGAGAAGGGGGCTGAGTACACTGTTTACGAAAATAGATGAAAATAGGGGACCCTAATATTTAGCCAAGTCACTCTCAGCCTCACGGGGCTTTCGAGAACAATGTTGCGAGTAGCAACGAGCAAAGCTTTTCAAAGCTCGAGGTCAGCTAATTAAGTTCTTCGGTGGCGAATCATGCATCACTTTCCCGGGGGTTTCTGAACGGAAATATGGGTTCCCACAGCGTCATGTAAGCATTGCTTCTGGCTGGTTTCGGACTACATCTCAGCTGAAGTAGGCAGTGAGGAAGGTTGAATAAGGTGGCAATGAGAAAGTCGACATCGTGCCACTTTTTGACTAGTCCGACTCCAGCCACTTTCGCAGTTGAAAAAACCAGAAGTCTTTTCAGTTTCTGGAAACGTTGCACAGGAATACGGTTTTCTTTGAACAACTTGAGCACTGCGCTACGGAAAGCGGCAGAGAGCTTGCTCATACAATTGCCTTCGTCGAGAAAACCTCCTATGCAGCCATATTTGGAGATGAAATCTATGGTAAGTTCCACCCAGGTTACAGCTTCCTGTCTTATACTAGTGCTGTACCAAACAGGCTCACTGAAATACTCTACAAGTGCTTGCGCTGCAGAGAGAGAGATTTTGCCGGGTCCCTTGGTTACGGTAGAACACGAGCGAAGAGAAATACAGGAAAAATGCCATTGCTGAGACAATTTGGAATGGTATGACGCATACCGCGTAGCAACTATAGCTCGAAGAGCATCAGGGACCTGGACATTCTTGGAGATGCATTCATAAAAACCCTAATATAGTTCCCCAAATAGAAGGGATCATTAGAAGGACCCCAATAAGGTACCCCTAGTTTCGGAAACCCCCATGTCAGCATCGTGTGCTCAGGGATCCATGTCCCAGCTCCGGAACATGCAAGCCGACCGCTCCAAGCAGTGCTGGCCTCGGACCAGCAAGGCTTTGCCGCCCCACAGTAGGAGCGAAGGAGCGCTGTGTTTTGCCGGAGATTTCCTCGAGTTGAGGCCGCCCTGGTTACAAAGCATTGTTTTTTGGGCCTGTCAAAAAGGGAGAGAGGGAGAGAGAGATCGTGGGTCCAGGTTCTGGCTGCTCCGCCGCTACCTCAAGCAGCAGAAGGTTCCCATGGACCTCTGCTTCCGAGCACCCCTGGCTGCAAAAAGAGAAGGGGCAGAGCCCGCAGCAGCGGCAGTAGCGGCCCAGCGGTGACATAGTTGGCTTGTCCTTGCAGGTTCTGCGTTACGTGGAGTATGCTGAACACCCAGAGTCTGAGCAAGTCCCGCCGCTCTACCCCAGTTTTTGCATCTTCCGGCATGTCAAGGCCACGAGCACCTCTCATGATCGTGTTCCGGAGGGGAGACTTGGTCAGAATATTGCGGGCTGCTGTCATTCCCTGTCCGCACCTGCGCAGGGCCTCTGACATACTTCTCGCTGCCTTTCCCCCGGCTCGAGTGTATTCGAGGCGCATCACGATCCTCAGTTCTCTCACGGAGCAGCTCAGGACGCACTGTGCAGTGCCATGTATGTGTTCAAGTGCATAAAGCCGATGGGTAGGAACGAGCTGACCTTTTACACTCACTACCGCAACCTCAAGAAGCATCCTGTGCGTCTTGGCGCGGCATCAGCTGCCCTGACCCATCCTGACCCGATTGCGTACTGTGACATGTCGCGACCTCCCAGGCTTGCTTGTACCATCACTTAAGGTTCAATCAAGTCGCAGGCATGAATGAGGCTGGTCTTCAGAGAGATGGGGAGAGATGCAGGTTGCTAAGCAGAGCTCCAGTGAATGGCATGCCAGCCGCTGTAATGCCATGCAGCCCCCCGGCAGGCCGTTCTAAACCGCCGCCTGGTTGCAGTACACGTTGGCATCTTTATTTCAAGTGTTTTGCGCCCAGAGCTCCGGAAGAAGGTATGAGCGCGCAGACGTTAAGCTCAATGGACTTAGCTGCTGGTGATCCGCTGTTCAGCCGCAGCCAAAGAGAGCATGTGTGGCAGTAGCAGCCCATGACATCATATGACCATTTGATTTCACACGGGGGGGTTGGTCCGCGAGGTCTCGTGGACGCATCTCGACACATGTTCTTCATTGAGACGGGTGCCATTCGCTATACCGTGCATGACAAAGACAGAGAGTTGTCGAAGCAGCGGAGGCGCCCGAATCTGCTTACATAGTAATTATTGCTGCCTGATAAGCTTATTGCTGCTGCAGGCAGTGCATCTGTATGGTTGTGATGAGAAGTACCCTTGCGAGGACCGTGTCTTTGCCGGACTTGCCGACAGATGCTGAAGTGGATCCTGGCCGGTCAACGGCGGCTCGGTTCCATGAACCTTGCACGGTTGCCTGACCATGGTATCCAGTCATGGTAGTACAGGCTGGTTGAAGTCAGGTCAATAATGGAGGTATGAGTTCGCTGGCTTTCTTTTGGGGGCAGAGGGCCGGAAATATTGCGAGGTTTGCAGGAGTCCACGAAACTGCGAACCTGGGGCTGGCCAGGGGCACCTGCTTGTTTGCTTAGTGCGACGCTGCCTTCCTAATGAGGGGCTAGATGCCAGCGGGTGATGTGCTGCACGAGACCCGTGTACCCCATGGGAGACCATTAAAGAGTTTCTATAGGACCTTTGGCAAACCCTGGGATCATGAAGACTTAAAGACTCCTGTGGTTTGCCAGACACGCCAGCTGTGAGGTTGTGTTGCCCATGCTTGCATGAGCGCTTAGACATGAAGAAACTGAGGTCTTGGGCAAGGCTGGTGCCCCAGAATAACGCCCATCTTGGCTCGAACTGGCGGTACCGACACCAGAAGTCTGTGCAAGTGATGCGTTGTTTGCAGCGTAAGTTCGGAAGGCTGGCACGGGGCAGCGAACTGTATCCGAACGCAAAGGCAGACTACCTTTGCGAAGTGGTCCTATGGAGCCCCTTCCAGCACATCGGCGTGGCGCAGGCTAGGTCGCTTCTTCCGGCCTTGGCTGATGGCATTCTGGTGCCTTGGGCAGGCCATAGCTGAGGCCAGCGTGATTCGCGTTGAAAGCCTGACCTTCTGCGAGTTGGTGCAGAAGGCACTGGCGTACCCTGACAGTCGCTGGCATTGCATTCGCGTGCTGTCGTTCATTTTGCTTGAGTGGAGACTTCGACAGGACTCAGAGCTGCGTGAACTGATGTCGCTGTACGCACATCGGTACCTTGCGGGCAAGCAAGAGGGTGTGCATGTGTGTGTGTGTGTGTGTGTGTGTGTGTGTCTTGGCCACACTGTGCCGAGAGCTTTCCTGCGCTGTGTGAAACCCGCAGCAGTTATCCCCAGGTTCGTTGAGCATATGAACACAGAGTCGATCGAGTGGGTGGAGATCAGCAACCAGGCAGGGGGCTGCCTGTGTTTGTTGACGCAACTGCGGCTTGCCACCGCCAGCATTCAACCTTTCAACGTGCTTTTGCATTTGAATTTCTGCTGCTCACGGGTGCTGTCACCAAAAGCGCAAAAGGCGACAATGATGATGACGATGATGACGATGAGGGTGATGTCGAGATGCCGACGGCCATGACGATGAAGAATAACATTATGGGGAAGAGACCATCATCATGACGATGACGATGACGATGGTGATGATGAGGAGGATGTGGGTGATGATGATGATGATGAGGATGACGATGACGAAGAATGATGTGATTATTCTGATGGCCATGACGATGGCGATGACGATGACGATGAGGACGCGACGACGAAGAAGATGAAGAATAAGAAGAAACACACAAACTATACTAAGAAGAAGAAGAACAGGAATAATAGCAAGAAGAAGAGGAAGATGAATAGTAACAATCGTATAAGCAGCAGAAGAACAAGTAGAATATGATGATGATATGCAGCTTCTCGCCCATTAATGGTTTGCTCCGGCTCGATAGTCCATGCACAGCATCTCACGGCGTGAGTGTCAAGAGCTGCAAACGGGACACTGCGCTGGGGCTTCGACCCTGATCCCGAATTGGCCTCAGCCCGGCCAGCCATCCCCACACGACGAGCCAAGCACATGCGAGCCTGTCGGTGCGCGACAGACACGAGATGGTTGATTGTGGCCCGCGCTAGGTTTCCACAGAGGCTGTGGACTGTGGGGGGCTCCTGGGGGGGCTCCTAGGGGTTAGCGCACAACAGTGTTGTTCAATCCTGCTGCGTCTGCCAGCGTCTGCATGCGGGTATTGAGGGGTGAAGTTGAGTAGTCTGAACTGAGGCACTACAGGTCATCATCAAGTGCATTTTTCACATGTGAATGCACAGCAGGATGCGAAGGATTTCACCAACGAGTTCTTCCAGACGCAGTGAGGAGAAAAGCAAACAACAGCGGGCCTCTTAGCCGTAGCCAATGCCATTTTTCGGGAAGGAGTGGGAGCTGTTCTTGCTCGGCCTGTCGTGCTGAGGTGCAGCTGAGCGAAGGTCTTGCGCAACCAGCTTGGGCTGCTGATGATTTGTTGATTGAGCTGCAGATTTGCATTTGCGATCCGCCCACAGGGTTCAGTGCAACTCGGTGCAAAGCTATCTAGCACCCAAAACAAGAATTACACACTTCTCGCGGAGACAATCGTAAGTCCCACTCTAACAGACCACGACGGCCAGCTCGCTCCGGCAGTGCCACGCACAATGTTTCACAAACTCACCAGCCAAGCTGCTGACAAGCACCAGGGAAGTGGGTGTGAGGCTTCCTCCATTGGAGTGCCAAAGCAAAAGCTGGCTCAAGACCAAACTGTGAGGAGTTTTAAGGCCCACGCTAACGCACAGCAAGGGAAAAAGTTGCCTTGCTGTGACCTGTACCCCTATGTTGGTTCCATGCGGTTCCATTGCCAGATAATGTTGGACCTGCTTTAGTATCGGCCCCCTCTTTTAAGACAATTTGGCTGAATTATTCAGGACATCCTGACTGTTTGGGAGTCCCTCTTTAAAGACAAACCGCTCCCGAAATCCGGACTTGTTTTAAGGGTTTGGGGCTTGTTTCGGCCCGGAGGCTCCGACTTAACGCCGGGCCTTCTGATTTTTAAGCCGGACCTTGTGATTTTAAAGGCCGACCTCATCCATTCCAACCGGCCCGAAACCATTAATTCCCTTTAAGAAACCATTTTAAAAGTTGGTTTCCTTCAATCCGACAAGGGGGTGGTCCAGGAGCCCCCTTCGGCCCCGAATAATGGCACTGATTTGGGACCCTGTTTTATGTCAAGGCCCCGGCCCGGAGGCTCCGAATTTGGATGCCTTGGTCTCTTGGCTTAAAGCCGGGCCTTATGATTTTATAGCCGGACCTTGTGATTTTAAAGGCCGACCTCATCCATTCCAACCGGCCCGAAACCATTAATTCCCTTTAAGAAACCATTTGAAAAGTTGGTTTCCTTCAATCCGACAAGGGGGTGGTCCAGGAGCCCCCCTCCGCCCCGAAGCTTATGGATCCCTTTTAAATTCATATAAACTCATCCCGGACCCCTTTTCGATTCGCGCGGCTCCCTTTTAAATTCATATAAGCTCATCCCTTTTTAAATTCATATGGATCCCTTTTGAATCTATCTAAACTCCTCTAAAATCATATAAAATCCCATGGGCCATGAAAGAGGGCAAAATCCAGCCTCGACTGTTCAGGGGGGGGGCCCCCACACTAAAGAGGTTTCAACATTATTCATGCTGGGTAATTCAGGCGCTTGCCCAAAATGGCAGCCTGCACCCCTAGAAAGCCACCCGTGCAACAGGCCTGACCGGATGATCCTGCTGGAAAAAGATGGCGATACATTGCGATCCTGAGCATAGGCTTATGCAGTCGAGGGCAACCGCGGGCTGCACACGTGATTGACGAGAGCAGGCGTCCGGTGAATGCAGCCCACACCTCAGACCGCACTTCACTTCCCCTTGGCCTAGTATTCTCGTATTCTAGTGAGTCTAGTGGCTGCAAAAGTCGCGGAACAAAAGACATCAGAAACGTATTTGTGCTGGCAGTTCCCGAGATGACGTGACCTTTGGGCCTAGGCTTCGTAGTGGAAGGTTTCGGATGCATCTTGGAACCCTCGTAGAACAGTGCCCTGAGAAGCTTTGGGGAAGCTGTGTGGTTTGCACTCGCCTAGGATGCTTCGCCTTCTGGCGAATGTCCTGGGCGTGAGTTATGCCCTGACAGCGGGACCCTTGGAACGGTAGCTTGTTCTTTTCGGCGTGCTTTCGCACATGGCATGCGCATGTCTTGAGGCCGTGGAGGGATGGTTCTAGTTGGGACGAAGAGTGACACCTTTCTGAGGTGGACAAAGATGGAGCGCCCGACGCAATACCCGCTGGAATGATGCTGCATGAGCCTCAGAAAGCGGTTTCAGTGCCAAGATGTGGGTCGGCCTCCAAGAATAGTCCTGATGCAGAGTAAGCTTGCCACCTTTGACGGCGCGGTAAAAGCGGCCTTCTCCTCGGGCAAGGATAGGAGCACTCGTGGTGACAAGGCAGCTTCATAACCTCCTTGGATTTCCTGTGGCAACTAGGAGCCTCGCAAGACAGCCATCTGCAGTAGGGAAGTAAGTAGGGAAGCTCCAGCAAGCCGAGGCCTCCGAGTGGTGGAGTCTTCTGCCGAGGAAGCGGTTGCCCATATAGCGAGGTGGGCCGTGACCTCAGTTCTTCTGAACCAGCGTGACGGTCAAGCAGCCGGTGCGATGCGAGTTCGGTCGGGCCCTGTGTATCATGTTCGAAGGTGTTGTTGGTGGACAGCAGATCATGGGCCACACCCAGACAGAGCAGGTGCAGAGTGTGAGACACACACGCACACACCGGCTCATGGAAAGCAGCTTGCTTCCCAGGGGGTGGAGGAGCAAGCGAGGGCAGCCTTGGCCATGGGTATGGACCTGCTGTGCAAGTCATCATGATCTGCCGGCTTATGCCACTGACCTTACCCAGACGTTGTGACATATGCAAGCCTGGGCTACTGCTGATGCAGGATGCACTCCTCGCTAGAAAGGAGTTCTGCCGAGGTCAGCAGGGCCGGCATCATATGCTGGGGTTCACATGGGCTTTTTGCCTCGGATTATCAGGTAGGATTTGCAGTATTAAGGAATTTCGTCACGAGGCCTGGATGCAAAAGGTGATTTCCTTTTGTGTTGTGAGCTCAAATTCAACGATCTGCACAAGTCTTGCGCTTGCGTGGTTGTCATCGGATTTGCATGTGTGTACAGCAATGGGTGCACCTGTTGGGACCTTTGCACTGCGTTGCCATGCTCTAAGCTCTAAACGCACCAAGAATTATCAATCTCCCTACCAGCGTGATGCCAATATCTGTCCGAAAAGCCTAATATTGCGTCAGCTTTCAGTTTCACCTGAAATCTTAATCAGTATGTCTGGGCGACTGGAATCAGAACCTTGACCGCACAGTTTTTAGCCGTTTCCTTGCCCAAAGTTTACCGCACCTGGGAGATCTGTGTCCTGTACCACAAGCTGTTTTGGGCTTGGTCTCATCAGTTTTCCCGTGTTCTGCGTGGTGTTCTGTAACTGTGCCCGGCTCTTCTGTCCATCCCCCGAAATATGCTGCGCTCCGATTTTTGGGGTAGGTTAATCCGTCTTTGCGCCAGGCATGAGCTGTGTGGATGGAATGGGCAAGCCCGTAGATCGCACGAAGGCACCCTGCGCATCTGTGGATGACATACGACGGGGTGGTCATTTTTGCTGTCTTGATGCTGCGCGCTGCGGAAGAAGCATCCGAGCCGTGAAAATCCATCCTGGATAGCACCGATGTCGGCTGCAGTTAAAGGAGCTGGCAAGTCGTTCGCCAATGATGGCACTTTGCGTCGGACATGGAATTAAAGGAGGGCTTTCGCTCGTTGGTGCATTGCAGGCCGCCTTTGCTGCGCAGTGCAGCCACTTCTTCAAGGATGGCCTGGAAGGCAGCTCACAAGGGTGAGGAACGGAGGGCATTAGGTATATATATATATATATCCATATAATAGTATTATATAATATTATACAATATCATATAATGTTATATAATATTATTATATATTGCTTCCATTGGTGGCCTTTGCTCCGGCTTGCGCAAAGGCCACGACGAGTATCGCACGGTCAAACAGGCACCGCAGCTGCAGATGGGTGCAGCTACTCTGAGTTTAGGGTTGAGGGTTTAGGGTTTAGAGCTTAGGGTTTAGGGCAGACAGCGACTGAACGTAATAGGTCCGCTACAAACCGCTTCGGCTCCGGTCTGGAGCTGCGTGCTGGCAAAAGGGGTCGCTTAGCTTGTCCTATCTTTTCCTCGCAAAACTTTGTGGTGCTCGCCTAGCAAATGTTCCTTAGTATGCCCAAAACAGAAGGGCTGCAAGCCTGTAAGCTTCTGGGCATACGGATGGTCGATGGGCCTTGAAGCTTAGTAGAAGAACTGTGATGAGTAGCAGACAGTGGACCTCAACAAGACGGGTCGAAAGTCGAAGCCCCCCCCCAAAAAAAAAAGAGGGCGCGTGCCAGACTTTAAATCACGGACGGGGGCACTTTACGGTGGGCTTGCCCGGAAGCGCATCCGCAGGTTGGCCAGGCAGGGTGGCAAAAAAAGGGGGGGGTCATCCTTTTTGGAGTGGTGATCCGTGGCAAATCCTGAACCCTAGAACATGTGGGTTCCAAAACAAGAGTGGTGAGTGGTAAGCCCGAAGCTGCAAAAGACGGGGCGTGCCCTGAGAGATTGCCCAAGTGGTGTGTGCGAGCCAGGTCTACGACAGCTTTGGGAGCATCTGTGGGCCCAGGCTCAGTTCCTGGCACCTGTGGAGGTTTTCTAACCTAATGGGATCCAGACAGATGCTCGAGAGCTGTGCAGTTGTGGCAGGGTGGGCAACGCGGAAATGCCGCTGTGTCGGGCGTACGGCGATGTTTTTGCAGCTGCCTTGGCGCCGCAACTGGATGCCATCACAGCCCTTTTCTCAGATGTTTGTGGAGTGCTTCAGGGTCAGAATGAGCCTCCGATCAAACCAAGCTTCAACACGCCATGGGCAAGGTGGGCAGCGCAGACGCGATATGCAACAGCATGTTCGACTTCCTCTTAGAGGTCAAGCAGGTGCGCCTCCGAAGCTTCCGGAAGAGTGATATTGAATTGAGCGTTGCAAGATCGTGCATGCATCTGTCTTGAAAGTCCTTGTGCCCCATCCAAGGCGCAGATCGACCTGCAGCTCTTTGAGGCAGGGCAGGAGGATGACTGTCGCAGCTGCTGGCCAGGGTGCGGGCAGCCTATTTTTGCTCTCATGATTTGATAGATCATGTTACCTTTTCATATTGATGAGGGTATATACTTGTTGTCCGATTGGGGGTACAAGAAAATACAAACCCTACTTCATATCAACTGAGACATTTCAATGGTGGCCTTGATGCAGGGCTCCTTGGACCACTTGGATGAAGCAGGGCCCCAGTCTGCACGTGGACGTAGGCCGGCTTCAGCCCTGCGAAACGGGGCTTCGGCCATTGTTCATAGGGTTTAGGGTCCCATCATAGCCCGGATGCAAAAAGGTTTAGGGTTAAAGGTTTAGGGTTTAGGGCTTAGGGCAGCACGGAGTCCAGATGAAAAAAAAGAACTTTAGGGCAGAGGGCGAAGTCTTCCTTGAGGTGGTCGAAGTTTGTTGAGATGAGCACCCCGAAGCCGCTCAACGAGACGCATGGCAACTTGCTGTCCAGCCTCCAGGCACCTGACCTGGGGATGGGAAGTTGCTAGTCGCATCACTTCCCTACTGTTGCCCTGGGGGTTTGCCCATTTTCTGGAGGTCCGAGCTGATGAGGCCGGAGATGCTTGAAAAGGTTTCCTACATCTGGCTTCAGAAGCCGCTATGTGTTTTGCCGTTGAGGAGTCCAAGTATGACATCACCATGCCGTCCTGGGATGGAGCAGCCATCTTACTCTCCTTCCACGCCTCACTGCTTTGTACATCTGGGCCCCCCCACCAAGGCCCTGAAGGCCACTCGAGTGCCAAGCCTTCTCTTCGATCATTGCGAATCAGAGATGAAGGAGATCATGCTGGATGCGTGGGGGTCTTACGTCTTCTCCGGCTTGTCTGCAGTTGAACACCTGCACCAGAACCAGCTGAAGGCCACAGACGTCGGGACGCGTAGCAAAGCTCGCGGTAGATTGGTCAACCTGACGCGTCGTTTGTTTTAGGTTGTGGCGTGCAAAAGCAGGTTGCGACATGCAGTTGAGTTGAGCTGTAACTTCGAGTTGCCAGGTGCAACTTCCAGCAGCTTCGTGGAGGAGGCCCCTTCAGATTTCTCGGCTGTTCACCGGGGCAGTTGTGCGTTGAGTGCCTTGCTTCATTCCGAACTTGCAGCGCTTTGGCTTGGTCCTGTCCTCTCATATCAGAGCAGCATGAGCAGAGCACAGTTCCAAGCAAGACCTATGTTGTCCAGACAGGCCGTTGGCCACAAGGTCACTAGGCTCAGGGTCACTAGGCTCCGACTTGAAGGCATCACTTTTTTAAGCCCAGTGCATACGCCGGATCATGGACCATCCGGAGCTGCCGTTTCACAATGACAGTCAGGCCTGCCCTCAGCTTGCTTATGGTTGGTGGTTGGGATGTTCCCCTTTATACGAACTGTCCTTTAATAGGGGTTATAGTACCCCCAAATTAGAATTCCAATTAAGGAGTGTGATAAGGAGAAACATCCCAAGTTGAGGGCCTCTACGGCTGTTCATCTATGGGAGCTGTCGCCCACAGCTTGCCACACCCCAGATCACCGATGATGTCGCTTTGGGAGCGATGGGGACCTCGGAGGCTCCCAGCAGCTCCCAAGACCTTGGCCCATTGATAAACAATGGTGTCGGCGGTCTGGACGCGCCCACCCCCCACCCCCAGGCAAAAAAGGAATATGGAAGTAATGCCTTTGTGTTCTCGAGGTTGTTGCCCGCGGTGGAATTTGGGCACCGCGGTATTTGTGAGGGGTTTTGGAAGCGGGGCATTCTGGTGTTGCTTGCATTGGGGCACCAATTTTATTTGCGAGGTTCTTGCATCTGCAAGCACGCAAATTCGGATACCAGAGTATTTGCAAGGTTTTTGCAAGCATGGAATTCAGGTACCGCGGGAATTGCAGGTATTTGCGGGAGTTTCCAAACAGGTATTTCTGCTGGTTTTCACTCCACGGAATTTGCGAGGGTTTGCATCTGGTCCCGTGGTATTTGCGAGGGTTTGCATCGCGGAATTCGAGCTCCACGGTATTTGCGAGGGTTTTTGCGCAAGCACAGAGTTGCGGTCCCACGGCATGTATGAGAGTCTTGGAAAATGCCACGAACATACCTTCCGAAACGATGCAAGAGACACTGGGCACCCAAGGTCAGCCCCGAAGCAGGCAACGTAGCCTCTTCCATGCCTTGAAAATGCATTCACACACGGAAACGTGCAAGGAGCCACGACCAGGAAGCAAGATGAAACAGTCTTCCCAAGCTTGATGGGTGCTTTGTGCAGACTATACGAAACTTTCTTGTCTGTCCCTGCATGAATGCTAAAGGCCGCGCGAGCATCAGTAGGAAATGATTTATCATAACTATATGGGGGTTTACGAAATTAGGGGACCCCCCCAGAACATAGATGCTCAAATAGTAGGATCCCCTTTAAAGAAGGACCTCAAGAAGGTACCCCCTCATCTCGGAAACCCCCATACGCTCTGGGCATCTCTGGCCAGGACGAGGAAAGCCCACCCGCTGAGGCAGACTTGGTGGCAGAAAAGGTGGTCTTCCTGCTCAGGGAATCCTTCGAAGTATTGAGCCAACAGCATGAGAAGTCGATGCAGCGGCTATCCCTTCAGGAGGATCTTTTGAAACAGGTGCTCCGCTGCTGTACAAGCATGGATGCAGAGATCAGCGGTGGGCCTTTCGTGGATTCACCATTTGGATCTGAGAGCGTCGAGTTTCCTCAAGTGTCTGGCGAGGATCTGACGGATGTGCGGCTAAAGTCACCGCTTCAGTCTCCTAGTGGAAATGGTAGCGTCTCTGGCGCCCCCTCGATATTTAATTCCTACACGAAGCACGACCTCGACTTGAAAGAGGATGCCCAGAAAGTGCACAGTCGAATGTCGGTGTATCAGTCAGAGCGCTTGACTGTGCCCCGGAAACCTTGTGTTCAGGGCATCGTGAACCATCCAGCTTTTGATGCTTTCTTTGCGTTCGTAGTGGTGACAAACTCCATCTTCATCGGCTTTGACGTGCAAAGAAGCATTGAAGATCCAAGCACTCCCCTTTCAATCAAGTTGGCCCAGTACTTTTACACAGTCCTTTTCGCGACCGAGCTGGGTATGCGAGTGGCCGCAGGCGGCTGCCGATTCTTCATTTCTGAGGACTGGATGTGGGCTTTGATCGACTCTGTGATTGTCGCAGGGGCCCTCCTGGATGTTGCTCTGGCTTGCAAGAGCTTTTGCATTTCCATGCGGATTGAATTGGTCAAATAGGCTTGTTGAGGTTTGAGTAGTTTCTGCACAATGAACCGCAGGTTGCGCTAGACATTTTGGAGGCCGTGAGCACGGAGAACACGGATTTGTTGAGTGGCATCGACAGTGTCTCCAGCCTGAAGGTGCTTTGGCATGGTCTTGGCAAACAGTCACGCTCCGGTGCCTCTTTCTTGAGCCCCCCCCCCCCCATGGTAGCTTGATAACAGTGAGCCGCTTCTTTCCTTCGGCCCCATACGCTCTTGTGTTCGACTTTCAAGTTGAAGCTTAGAATGTGCCGAAGCACGTGACTCCGAACAGTAGTAGTACGTAGCTACACTTTAGCTACTCACCGCACTTCCAGAATGTACTGAGCCGGTGGGGGTCGCAGAGGCTGACGAGCCTTGAGTCTCTGTTGAAAAGTTTTGTTGTTGAAGGCTTTCCGCATCATCCGCATCACGCGCATCTTGAAAACGGTCCAGGCCAGGGCTTTTTTTGGTGCACTTCAAAGCTTGGCGTAGAGCTTCTCCCGAACCAAAGTAAGCAGGCGAAGCGGGCCAGACTCCTGCTTGTCTTGCTTGTCTCCTTGAGATGTGGTGTAAGGCTTCGAGGGTTTCACAGCATTCCTACGACCCTCTCAACCATGAATGTGGTGCAGGTCATGCGGGTATTTCGCTTTGTTATGGCCCTGCGGACCCTGGTCACTTCAATTTTTCACACGCTCAAGGCACTGCTTTGGGCGCTGATTCTCTTGTTCTTGATCGTGTACGTCTTCTCCGTGATCTTCGCCTCCGCGGTGAACGAAGCGCTGTCCGTTCCGCACCTCCTGCTGCCTGAAAGGGAGGCGCAGGCACGGCGCTATTTCGGCAGCCTCGTGGAGACCATGTTGACTTTATTCATGAGCATCGCCGGGGGTGTGAGTTGGGAAGAGGTTATAGCCCCCTTGCGGGCAGTGTCAGAAGTTTGGGGCGTTGCGTTTCTCGTGTTCTTCTCCTTCACCTACTTTGCGGTCATGAACGTAGCCCAGCAATTTCAGCAAACAACTTTTCTTATTTGTCTTTCGGGTGGTTCTTGCGCAAGGCTCGGACTCCATAGGCGCTTCGGGAACTTTCGGGGGAGAGTGTGCTTCGTCAAGAAACAATCACTGGCCGAAGGTCGTAACTGCGGTGTTCTGTACCACAGCTTTGGAGTCTGCACAGAATGACCATGCAACCTTAGTGCAGTCGATGCTGGACAACAAAGAGGCTCACTTGGAAAAGCTGCGGGCGGTCTTCAGCACGCTTGGGGCGAATGAGACGGGCGCAATCACCTTCACGATGTTTGAGGAGCAGATTGACAGCCCCGAAGTTAAAGGCTACTTGGAGACCCTGGGTTTGGATGTCTGGGATGCATGGTCCTTCTTCAAGCTGCTAGACACAGATGGTGGCGGGGCTATCGAGATTGAAGAGTTCTTCATGGGGTGTTTGAGATTCCGTGGCCAAGCGAGTGCCATGGACATGGGAAAGGTCATTCAGGATCAGACCTGGCTCATCAACAGCCAAGGAAAGTTCCAGACCTTTGTCGAAGGAGAACTCAGGATGTTGAAAGACAGCGTTTCTGCCCTTGTGGAGATGTCAGGCTCGAGAGGCTTTCGATCATGGTCGAAGAAGACGACCGCAGTCGCACCCGGTCGATGCAGGGAGCTTTGAGCTTGAGTGGCCCTTCCTTGCACGCCGGCTCGAGTGGCCCGGCCTTTTTTGCGAAAAAGGGCCATGGGCTGTGCATTTTGGAACATTTGAACGTTGCCTGTCCAGCCATCTCCGAGCAGGCTTGCGCTGCCACATGTACTCTAACTCGTTCGGCGCCGGAACGGTTTACGCACAGTCTTGCAAGCCTGCATCGGGACTTTTTAAGAAAAGGAATGCTGGGCAGGGGCGTGCTAACTGCACAGTGCCGTCGGGGACCAGCAAAGCTGGCCTCCAATAGATCAGGCGAAAATGGGTCTGCCTTTTGCTACCTTTTGTGCTGGTGGGCGTAAACGCATGGGGCTGCCCACTGCGCTACTGGCGCTTGATGGTACATGCTGGCTCAAGTTGCTCAAGACAATGGGTACACATTACAACAGGTTGAATGGCAAGCAGTACGCTGCCACTGCCTTGGAATTTGTTAGGCCTTGGCGTTGTATGCCATTGTGACTTGTTAGAACAGCAATAGGCTGCTCGAGGTTGCAGTTGATATTGATCCCTCATCATTTCAAGCAGCTTGCCCAGCATGGTGGCTCCGCTTGTACTGACTCATTGATTGCCGAGCGCTGGGAGGCTGGTATGGTCGGCGTGGTGTGTGTGTGTGTGTGTGTGTTCTTTGTCCACGGATCCGTGGCCAGGCCCGCGCCATGGATCTTACGTGGAACAGGCACCCAATCGCAGCCTGATCCAGCTTAAGAAGCAATTTGTAGATCTCTTGAAAGTCGAGTCTCGAATTTGCCCAGGCGCCGGCGGCCAGCGGACCTTTGAAGTCTGAACGCGGTTTCGACTCAAGCTTCGTTGCCAGAGGTAGTGGCTGTCACAGCTGGCCTTTTTGCGCCTTAGTGAAGTGCTGTTTCTTCGTTTGAGGCCACCACAGGATGGTAGTCTGTCTCCTTGAGACTACAGTAAACCTAGAGTGCCTTGTCATTTCTGCTTAAGCCACTGTCCCTGATGGGGGCCGAACCTGAAGGACTTCCAAGGATGGCTTGGCGTTGAGGCGCCATGTCGCCCGATTTGAAGTTACCATAACTTTTTAAACGAATGGGCACCGAGTGGCATCCAGGTGACCCCATTCGGGGTTGAGGGTTTAGTATATGCGCGCAGAGACCTCCAACAC